TAAGAATTTTTTTTCAAAAAATGTTTGAGACTTTTCGAAATTTTTACACCTTTAAATTTAATATTTAAAGAGCCAGAAAATTAATAAGCCAGATCATTTAGTGGGGCCTTACACTTTGACAGGCGCCTTCAAAGTTTGAAAGAATGTATACTGGCCGCCATAAATACATGAAAAGCCAGTGTACTTTGATCAATTTTCGGGACAACTGTCTTTATTAACGAGCTCCTAGCGAGTTCATAATTTTGAGATGTCTGTCCGTCTGTCCGTTAGCACAATATCTCGAAAATAAAATAAAATAATAAACAAATAATAAAATACGGGACAATATTACTAATAATTAATTCCTCACTGTCAGTTGTCGAGGAAAATCGAGGAACTTTTGTTACCTATCAAAGCCTACTCGACTGTGATGAAAAACTAAAATAAATTTACGATGTTCTGTACGTGTAGGTATAGAAAAGGTATAGGTAATAGCTAGCACCTGTTAGTACATTAAAAATAAATAACGGGCGATCAAAAATGAGTTGCTGTCGAGTTGCCTTTGGAAGTTCAAGTTAAGTACCTACGATTTGCCATGTAAACAAAAATTCCAAAGGCAACTCATTCTTGATCGCATAGTAGATAATAAGTAGAAATACGAGTATTTAGTACTAAATGAATAGATGGCTAGATTTTTGATAAGTTTAAGATTGCCCTTGCACAGACTACCATTAAAAATGTGAAGTTGCCTATTGCTGTAGATACTGATTGCCTCCAGTGTATTAAGACTAAGTCACATTTGGCTACTTAATAGCTGCTACCTAGTCGCTGCTAGTAAAAATGCTGTTAAAGTTGTTAGTAGCTGATACTACTTATCTCACATTGCTACTTAGTAGCCTCTACTTCGATAGCTGCTAGGAAAGTAGCCAAGTGTGACTTACTGAATAGTTTTCTATGGTGCTAGGATTGATATATTGGGTGTAAAGAGGCGAAATCAATAATACTCGATCATAGAGTAAAGTTATAGTTAGTGAATGTGCCATATTGTTGACACCGTTAGTGAACTTCAAATCTCACAGTATATTTTTTAATGGTCTACCGTTTCTAAAAAATTAATTTCTTTTTACCATCTGACAGTAGGGTAGAATTTGAATTTGACAGTGTAACTTAAAGGTTAAATTTACTGTATCTATTAAAGTACGTAATTTTATTTTAGCATGGGATAAGTAAATGAATTGAGATTGTAGCGCGCAAATCGCGTAGGGAATGTGTGCTTACATTCGCTCTCTGACATCAGCGGTCACGGAAATTGCAATTTATATAAAACAATTAGCGCTAGAATTTGTTATATAAAAAGCGGGTTGGTCTTATAGTTAAGAGCTGAGTGAATTATAAAAGTGAGTGAAAGAAGTTTAGTGCAAATTTTTTGGAGAAATTGAACCAGGAAGTTGAGGAAAGCGGTATAGAAAGCCCAGTAGATCTGAGGAGCTTGGTTGACACAGCAGCCATCATGAAATTATAGACACGGACAACTTCATCCGGTCGCAATAATAATAAACCTACGCACTATTTTTCTTTATCTACGTTCTGTAAACTATAAGTGATTCATCTTTAACGCGTTTATATTCGTGCGTCATTATAAATTTCTCCATAAACTTTTAATTATTAGAATTTGTTTATATAGACATACAGCCCTGGGACGTATTACAAACGTTAAACTTAACGTGCAGATTATGCTTCATTACACGACTGCCTTTTATTTAATTTGCTTAAAAATACTTCACTTTTTTAAGTTACTGATAGCTGTTCACTTCCCTCCAACTATTAGGGAACGTGAATCAACACTATCTTTCTGCTATAATCTTGATAAAAAAGGCTCCCATCCAACTAGGGGTCGCTTGCCATTTTTATCAATACCTGACACTAAATAGAAGGTTAGAATTAATCCAGTTTTCCCCCAGTGTAATGTTGTACAACACAGATCAATGCAAAAAGTCGCTCAAAAAAAACATCCTTGCATAACTACTGTACTTTCGTTCATTGTTGCCCTTTCAAACGCGTGACCCATACTTAATATCTATTTCAAAAGACGACAATTCACAATGAGAAACGTTAAAAAATTAATAGAAGATACCCTCCTGATTCTTAAACAACTGGTTCGTGTATTACTGCATCTATGAGAAATTTTCACAGCTGCTGACCGTCGTTGTAAATAATATTAGTTAAAAGTATGTTGGAAAACTAGGTTCGTTAATTACTTTATTTTTCTCAAGCGATATTAAGGAGTATGACGCCAGTGATCGGCACGTGGAGGTATTTATAGTAAAATTGCACGTTACATGCAAATTACAGTGATTTAATTTACATATAAATTTGGATGCATTTTGATATCATTTCTTTTATTCCTCTGATAAGAAGAAATCTCTCTAAACCAACAAACTTCTGGATCAGTAGTTCGATAATTTGTGTATAAACTCGAACGATTTCACAAGTTCGCAAGCTTTCAAACGTATTTCAAATATCCCCCTAAAAACTAAAACCTACAAAACGTTCTTTAAAATTAAACTCAACAATTTTTACTAGTTCTGAAAGGTAATTCTAGTATCATTCCAAAATTCAACCTAAACAATTAGGTAATTTTAAATTTTTTTATCGACCTATAAAATTAACACTCTACATTTTACAAGTTCTGAAGAAATAGTACAGGAATCGCCATCCAATTTCTAATTAATTTAAAATCTTTCTGTTATTTGTCTATTTTGAGATATCCTGAAGTATATGTATAAAATAAAACTCGAGAATGTTTTAAAAAAACAGTTTTTAAACCACCCGGAAAAGACGCATAACCGCGGAGCCAGGACAACAAGGCCTTGCACCACAAAACAAGAGCACTCCTTAGTTATGCAACCGAGGAAGCCCCTTCACCAAGGTCACGCTCAAAACCAGGGTAGTCTTGCACCATAAAGAAGGATCACTTCTTAGTTACGCAATCGAGAAATCCCCCTCACCAAATCCACGACCTTTTCGTTGGCAAAATCACAGACCACGACCTTGCACCATAAAACAAGATGACGACCTAAACGAGAGGAAAGGGAGAGGTATCCATTCGGGGAAGGGAGAGCTTCCCTTGCGGAATTAATCAAAAGCTAATGTATAGTCCAGTATGCGGAGCAGTCAGAAGGGCCGATTCCTGCAAAAGGGGGTGTAAATGATTTTATCGTTTTAAATGGTCCATTTGGGTCCAAATAACATGTATTTGAAGAGTGCACACAAATTTTTTCCCTGCACAACTTTTGGCAGCCAAAAAACCTCAAAATGTTCGGACTTTTTTCAGTTTTTAGGCTAAAACTCGCAAACGGTCCATATTTTATGAATAACACTTCTTTAGTAAATTAAAGAAAACAAAATTCTGCGCCGATAAAAAACAAACAAAATCGGCCCAATAGAAGAATGTTTACAAGCGATCAAAAAACGCCCATTTTTTCCAACTTTTCTAAAAAACTGAGTTAACCCTTTTTTAATGCGTTGGAAACTATAAAATCCACTACCCCTGTCCCTAAAGATTGGAGAACATTAATCAGAGAGTTCAAAAAGTACCAACAATTTAAAATTGGATCAATTTTTGAAATTCGTTGGAAAAAATGGGCGTTTTTTGATCGCTTGTAAAAATTTTTCTATTGGACCAATTTTGTTTGTTTTTGATCGACGCAGAATTTTGTTTTTTTTTTATTCACTAAAGAAGTGTTATTCATAAAATATGGACCGTTTTCGAGTTTTAAGCGAATAACTGAGAAAATGCAAAACATTTTGAGGTTTTTGGCTGCCAAAAGTTGTGCATGGAAAAAATTTGTGTGCACTCTTCAAATACATGTTATTTGGACCCAAATGGACCATTTAAAACAATAAAATCTTTTACACCACCTTTTGCAGGTCAAAATTATCTAGGTACATACTGGAGTAATACTCAATATTCTAAAAAAAGAGATAATGTAACATTTTTGTATTGTGTAGTGCTAGTATTGAATACTAGATTTGTACGAAAATATTTTGTTGATACTTTAGACCACAATTTCCAGGAAATCAGAGTTCTTTCTACCCTGAGTTAAAAGTGTGAAGGTCGGTATTTTGAAAAACAATTATATATGATAGCTGGTACAAGATTTCAAGATTTATTATTCCTGCTGGATTATAAATAATTTACAGGAGTCATACATGTAATATTTATAAGCATAAAATTGCAAACATACACACCGACATACACACCTGCACACGCACTCTCACACTACATTACGGTAATACAGTAACAGTATATATAAATAGTAAATCGAAAATACAAAATACATTTTAAAAAATCACGTTGTAAATAATAATAATAAAATTTATGTTCCGCTCTACATTACGACTTTGTTCACCAAATACTCTTCTGTGCTATAGAAACTATGTTTCAAGAGAAACTGTTTAATTTTTTGCTTAAATGTTTTATCATTTTTTTCCTTAACATAATTTGGTAGGTGATTGTACAATTTGAGGTCCAAAGAATTTTTTTTCGAAGTGGTTTTTTTGAAGCGCTTTATTGTTAACCACATACATAGTTCCATTCTGCTGAGTACGTAATTGTTACTGAGAAGATACGCAAATTGTGTTATATTTTGGGAAGTAGCTTCCAAACGAAACAATTCGGACCTTTAAATTGTTTCTTTTGAGTTCCTCTATTACCCCTTTGTTAACATTACACCCTTATACCATACTATTTTATGTTATTGACATTTTAATGGCTTTCAATGGCTAAGTTAGAGTAAAAAGTGACCCTTTTTCGGAAAGGGTAGATAAACTGAAAGTGAACATGCATTCTAACGACATCTGTCAGTCTTATTAAAAATGGGAGACGGAGCACGAAATGAAATTAAGTTCAGAGCATGTTTCCATGGAAATGATTATTTTGGACGTCTAAAATAAATTTTGAATTGTCAGAAGTTGTATAGCGGTTTATGTAGATTCTGCTATAAATGGAATCTCGCAATTCAACATCTCTTGTATAATAATTCTCAGTTTTTTAAGCACACTGTAATTTATGTTGCTTTGATCATTCATCCACTATGAAATCCAACAAAGGGCGAGGTTCAGAATTTAATCTAACCGTGCGTTTCGATAAGCAGTTATTAATAAGCTGCCAAACATTCACAAACAAGCGCTAAGTAAGAATGAAAATAAGCGTGATTAAACTTTTAACAACCCTGCCACTAGTTTACGCAACGGGGAGTAAGTACATCAAATGTATGGATGCCGTTAATCTATTCCAGTTCCGTCCCCACCTAGATTTCTAAAACAACCACCTCCTAACGCAATCTTCTTCGAAGAACACTCAGACGAGCCCATTATTTTGGAATGCGAAGCATCGGGAGAACCCGCACCTCAGTAATGAACCCAACATTTTTTTTTCATTGAAACTCTAGGACGAATTTTTAGATACACTTGGTTAAAGAGTGGCAAAGAGATCGTATCGACTACTGATCACGATCACATATTCCAGCACTTAGACAAAGGCACCGTAATTATTTTCAAGGCAACAACCGACGATGCCGGTCAGTACCAGTGCATTGCCAAAAATAAATGGGGAACTGCTCCAACACAGTCTTTGTAAACAAAAGCGTCTTACGAGGGTTCAACAGTACTGTTACGAAATACTTAAATGCCACCGAAGGTGAACCTTTCCGGCTCACATGTCAGTCGCCCTATGGAGATCCGCGACCAAAACTGAAATGGTTGCTGTTATATTTTGATGGAACGCTTCAAACGGCAGAAAACTCCCATAGGACCTGTAGATACAGACGGGAATTTATGGTTTTCTAGTATAACTAAGCTAGATGAAACCAATGAGTTTCTGTACGTGTGTTACGCGTATTTAGAATTTGGTTCATCGTACAAACTAGGCGAAAGAATTTCTTTGAAGGTCGTCAAAAATAACGCAGCACCTAGCGAGCCAGTACTCCAATACGTTAGTCCAAAAAACATACCTGCCCTTGCAGGAAAAAGCATTGTTATATACTGTGTATATAGTGGAACGTGAGTATTAAAACAAAAATCACTTAGCTATATGGGGTACTTTACAGACCTAACCCGCAAACGGCATGGTACAAAGATGGGCTTATCCTACAACCCACTAGCAAGTCTCTTTCGATTCAAAATGTTAGTCTGTCAGACAAAGGAAACTACACTTGCGAAGTGAGCAACGGAGTTGGCGCACTTAAAGTTCATTCCACACATTTGGCAGTCTTTGGTGGGTTTTGATCTAATGAGGAATTACCCAGTATAGACTTTTAGCCGAACCAAAACTGATCGATGAGCCTGAGTTCCTTACCGTTGCGAAAGGAGAGTCTGCGGAATTTCGTTGTACCGCCTCAGGTGTGCCTGAGCCAAAAATAAACTGGTCGCGTAATGGCAAGGAAATCAGAAATACGTCAGTATTATTAACATCCAGAGGAATTTTTATTGAAAGTGTCTCCAAGTGGGATATCGGGAACTTTGGTTGTAATGCTAGCAACATCTTTGGTTACGCCTACAAGGATGTCTACTTGAACGTGCTTGGTGAGCGTCTTCAAAATCGCTTAAGTTTCACTCATATTTTAGCCATACTTCGTCGAGGAGCCAAAGGACGTGACGATAGTCAGTGGACGAAATGCGTCTTTGGCATGTAAAGTTTATGGCGTACCAAAACCAGTGGTCACGTGGAAACGAAGTGAGGTGGAGGTTTCCGGTGACCGATACCAGATTTCAGCGAATGGTGAGCTTCATATAACCGACGCTCAATTGGAAGACAGTGGTAATTACGATTGTTTAATTGAGAATAAGTTCGGCAAATTGCGGGCGAGAATAAATCTACGTGTTAAAGGTATGGTTTTTTCAGGCAACAAAACGCGATAGGTCTTACTTCTTTTAGTGCAAACAAAGGTTGTGGACGCGCCAAAGGATTACCAAGGGATTCCAGATGGCTCGGCAACGTTTAGTTGTACATTCGTCCATGATGCCACCTCTGATGTGGAGGTTGTCTGGCTCAAAGACGGCAAGCCAGTTCAGTTTGGGAGCGACGGCCGTTAACCAAGTCTTATTCACTGACAATTTCAAAACTGAAAAGTGAGGACGCGGGAACCTACAGTTGCCTTGCTGAAACGGAATTTGATCAAACAGAAGCTTCGGCTGCACTCAGCATTCAGAGTAAGGCGATTGATTGAGCAAGCAGTGGTAGAAAATCCCTCTTTTGACACAAACATAAATATAAGGTTTGAGAATCTGTTAAGTAGTATAGACACATTTACTAAGGTCGTTTTTTGTTTAACCTCCGATCGCCTAGACAAGTAATAATCAGAGGTCACCTAACAACTCCTTCAGTAATTTCAATGGAATCCACCCGATTTAGCGCAGATTGACTTTCACCTCTTTCCAAAACCCAAGCAATGGCTAGGAGGAAAACGATTCCAAACAAAAGAGGAGCTTCAAAACAGCGTATAAACTTATTTAATCGAGTTGGCGCGGGCACCTTCTACAAGGAAGGAATATGGAAGTCGTTAAGCGGGTAGGATACCCGAATTTAAAAAATGCAAGCTTGGTTTTCCCAAGTCTGAGTTAAATATGAGCTAAATTCTGGCTGCGTCTAAACCCATTAACCAACAAAGCTCCTTTGAAATAAAACAACGCAGCTAAAAGCTAAGGCTTCTTTTCCATCACGGTGGTCAAATTTAGTCTTTGAATTTCCACCAAGAGTATTATTTATTTGGAACACCACTAAATTTTGATACTCTGTGAAATTTGTATGATAAGCAGTACTCAAAATGTTTTACTCTTACAAGCAAATTTACAGCTACTGTTACATATTGCACTGTATCTAATTTAAATTTAATTTAAAGCTCTGTAAGTATGCCGTCTCTTTCTTTTAGCTAAACCCCAACCACCGCACGATCTGCGGGTTCTCTGTTGTTTCGTCTGATGCCAAAATTTCTTGGGCGGCGAACACCAACCCAACAGCGAAAATCAGACACTATATTATCGAAAAATCAACAAATGTCAGACGGAACAATTGGGAGAGTGTAGCTGTTTTGGAATCTGGAAATGACCTAACTTACAAGGTAAGAGGACGATTGTTTAGCGCGACATTAAGCCATCTCCACAGGTTCCGTTAACCCCTTGGACTAATAACACATTCCGTGTGATAGCAACAAATGAAATTGAAAAATCAGAGCCGTCCGAAAACTCCCGCGATTGTCGGGCGCCTCCTCAGGTGCCATTTACGAATCCAGGCAACGTCAAAGGCGTAGCTGATCGGTTTGGTAGCTTCTCATGATTACCAAATGAGAAATATACATGACTGGAGGCAAAATAACACGATCATTAAAGGACACGTTCGTTTAGGCCATTCAAGATTAAGGTAAGGGCCGTCAACCGCGTGGGCGTTAGCAAAATTGATCCTGAAGAAATTATCGGATTTTCCGGCGAAAATGGTTAGTTACTGCGTCAAGTCCGTCTCATTACCATATTTTCCCTGCAGTACCACGAATGGAACCGAAAAATTTTGTGCTCGTCGAAAGACCATCGCCTACTATGGCCTTGGTGAAATGGGATCCGGTGCCTATCGAATCTGTTCGGGGCCACCTGAAGGGTTACCAAATTACAATATGGACGGAGAAAGATGGTAGTTTTAGGCAGTTTGAGACTCAAGGAAACGTCACTGAAGCACTCCTACAGCAACTGGCACCCGAAACTAAAAACTATGTACAAGTATGCGTTTTAAATGGAAAATATGGTGGTCCCGCTAGTCTCACCATTTCCATTTAATTTTTCAGAAAATAACATACATTCATACAGCGTGCGCCATCTCGGTGCACAATATTGTATACGATGTGCGAAGTCTGCACTTTTAGATGCGATTCCTTTCTAGGGTTATGTACTTGTGTAATTTTCTACTAATAGATTACACTTTCTACAAACTATTCCTCAAGAAATTGAATACGGAATACGGAATAAATATATTTTATTGATTTATTATTTCTCACTGAATTCAATAATTGATTTGTTAAGTAAAGTGTCCTTATTTATAAAGGAAAGTTTAATAAAGTTGCCTAGATCCATCCTTTTCCTCAGTAATTTAAATTTATTTACAAAATTTACATTGGCTAAATGGTTTATATACTGCCATTGATTATACACAATTTTGATGACAATAAAACATCAATTTAGGAAAGAAATGGTTTAACTATGTAGCCTGTCTGTAAACTTTTATTAATTACAGAGATGACCCAGACTGTGCTTTGGGGTAGTAACTTTTTGACTCGGTAGAATTGAAGCGGGAAATTTTGTGGTACATGCGCTAGTACTATAACTATAAGATTCTTTTGCCAACATTTCAGGTCAATAGCACTCTAAAATAAAATAAAATGTACCTACTTTCTGTTAGGAAAAATTATAGCGTATTAATCTAAAAAGAACGCACAATCTAATTAGTCCAGGCTCTAAAATAATTTATTTTAAAAAAAAATTAGTTACCGGGCGAAACCGGGTTTTTCGGGCAGATGAAATGAATAGAAATTGGGAAAAAATAATTAAAACAGCTGAATTTTTCCGCGGGTGAAATGGTAAAATCTTTGCGAAAAAATGTCGTAGGGGTTTGAAATTTGGAGGAAACATAGCTTGTTTTATGATAAAAAAGAATAGTTTTTGGGCCCATAGAGTTGAACCGTTTTCAAGATCTCACGATTTCTGAAAAAACCCACCTCTTTTTCAAGGGGATGAGAAATCTATTTTTTTCATCGTACAGAGGTGCGCGGGGTAGCAAAATTTTCGTAACGACTTACATTTTTATAATCAAAAATAAAAAATAGTATTCCAATAGAAAAATTATAAGAAAAGCGGCAAAAACGGGGGGAAGAGTATTAAGATATACCGTTTTTGACAGTAGGTAAATAGCTTTCTTTGCAAATAAATTAACGTATTGAATCCACGCTAATAAAAAGTTTTTGAAATCTGTCTTCTCTCTCCTCTTTAATGTTGCTAAAATATTTCCTTTTGTTTCCTAGTGCCCAACTGCCTTAATTAAAACATCTTTATTATTTCTTTTTTCTGCATTTTTACCGCAATAAAAGCAGTTCGAACTAAAATCGAATTCTTTTGCTCCCTGAACAATTTCTTTTTGTTCACTAACTCTTCTTCCTGCCTATTTTACAGCTGCTGGGATTAAGCTGGGCCTGTTGATCGTTAATTTACAGGAATTATGAATAAAATCCTCATAAAGTTTATTCCAGGCATTTGCTTTAGCCGGTAAAACTAACGTTCTTATTGCAGATTTTGCAAGTTTATCAACAGGCCCAACGCAATTACATCAGCTATAAAACAGACAGGAAGAAGAGTCAGTGAACAAAAAGAAATTGTTCAGGAATCAGGAAGCAAGATACTCCGATTTTATTTCGAATTGCTTTTCTTGCGGTAAAAATGCAGAAAAAAGAAATAATAAAGATGTTTTAACTAAAACAGTTGAGCATAAGATAACAAAAGACAATATTTAAGCAAACATTATAGAAAAGCAAGAAAACAGATTTCGAAAAAATCTTTCATCCCCTTGAAAAAAGGTGTTTTTTTCATTCATTTTTTTTAATCTCTATATTTTTTACATTTAACATTTTCGTCTAAAATTAATAGTTTTGCCACAATTTGCAAAACACCACTTTCCACCCCTTTCAACTCCCGGGATTTCACCCGCGAACAAATTCAGCTGTTTTAATTATTTTTTCCCAATATCTATTCATTTCACCTGCCTGAAAAACCCGGTTTCGCCTGGTAACTCATTTTTTTTGTAAAAAATTATTATATAGCCTGGACCAAAATCAATTTTACGACATTGTACCTAATGCTAGTTTTTTAATCTCAAAGAAACAACAGCAGCGCTGCTAAGCAGAAGAACAGGACGCAGTGCAGCGCTGCTAAACAAACCAGTATAAAGGGGCATTACTTTAAATTTTGCAAGTATAAGCATTTGCTTATTTTTATTCATACGGCCCCTTGTGTCGATTTACAATGTTTGTTTTTATTAAGATGCGAGCGACTTCTGGAATAGGATCGTGCTAATGTTGAACAAAAAGTCTTTTCGTTTTCGTTCAACATTGACACGATACTATCCCGGAAGTCGCTAGCACCTTACGAAAAACAGAGATTGTAGATCGGGATCAAGTGTTCTGTGACCGGCAATCTTTCCTGGCGAGAGTTATATAGAATTTAAATAATGTACTTTATGTACGACTGCTTGATAATGCGGTGATTACAGTCGCAATTAGTGGCCATAATTTGCAATATTATGGCCTAGTCCATAATGATGAAGTAAACGGCCGCCTGTCAATGTGACAGTCGTACTTAGGTGTCAATCCAAGGTAAATTCAAGTATTTTAGACAAATGCTTGACATCTGTTGTCAATGATATATAGATTTCATCGTTTATTGAATTCCATGAAATTTTCATTTTTAGAAGGTTGTTTGCAGTCATACATAAAACTTTGTATATATCGCGTCCATAAATAGGCTAAATAAACGGCTCGTCCATAAAGACCCAGTTTCTGTAGGTACTTGATATATAAATAGCAATTAGGTACTTGCAATTGCAATCGGTCGTACACTGGTTACGCGTTGGGTATCTTCGAGGATATCTTCTAGTTTTCGAACAGTTGGGGCAGTGTGGAATACCAAGTTCTTTATGGACACTTGCACTGGCGGTAATGATAAACTAGACCCTCTTCTAAGCGAGCACAATTTGCTGGTTTATTAAGGAACGTTTAACAGAAAAAACATTTATCCTGAATTTGGGTGTATTTTATGATGCTTTAGAAGAGCTTTCCTACATATCTTTGTAGGTACAAAAACGCAATTAACGGTTTTAGATGCTCATAAACAAATTGTGAGGCAAGTTCGTCCTTAATTCAAAGAAGCTTACGAGAGTGCTAGTAAACTGACTTTTAAGAACGTTATACTCTTCATGGAGAGGCAAGAAAATTGCGGAAAACAAAGGAAAGGATGTGACTAATCTAAAAAATCATTTTTCTATTTCGGTGTCACAATGATGATTTTGTACAACTGTTTTCGACCGAAAACAGTTGTACAAAGACAGTGACGTTTTTTTTTGGTAACTCATCTCTTAAGTTGGCAGTTACTAGTTAGTACAAGTAGGTACTTCCTTGGGTACTTCCATGTTTGAACTTCAAAATGTCAGTCTTACTACGTTGCCAACCTAAAACTTAACGACATAAAAAGTGTTCCCAACATGAAACATGTTAGTTCTAATATTCCCTATAGTTTCTGATAATGATTTTTTTAATTAAATTAAAGCACCGAAATAGAAAAAATAGTATGAAAACCGCGTGTTACAATGCTTTATTGCAATACTCCTATCTTGCGGACACTCGTGGCTACGCTTCGCGTCGCCACTCGTGCCACAAGGTAGTAGTATTACAATAGGTCGCATTGTAACACTTGTCTTTCAATATACTATTGTCGTTCTTGGCCCCGGACTGTGCTACACCGTATAAGAAAGAAACCACCAGGAAAAATTTATCTCAGTTTCAATACGTAGTGGACTATAGTCGAGACTATAGTTCACTTTTACATTATTTACCTATACCAAGTAGATAATCAATTTGAGACCTTATATTTGCTTATTTTTACCCTTACCCTTTTTTGTTACCCTTTTTTTAAAATATCTTCTGATTTCTTGATTATCGTTCCATTTCTCCTAATTTGTTCAGGGATAAACTATTGAAAAATTCGTTTGGTGAAACTTTGCATAATGCAGCCTATGTTAAACTATACAAAGACATTAGATTTAATATTCCAAAGAGATAAGGATCGTGCTGTAGAAGTCCATTGGATAGATTATAATCGGTGAATCAATAAAGCTTTTATAATACACACCACGAAGTTTAGTATTTGCGCTATTATAACGTGATGGTGCTCGTCGAAGTGTTCTGTTTTTGGTTTTCGGTGCGACTTGGTTCGATTATTACGGCATTTTTGACTTTGGTGGGATGATTTCTAATATTCTTGATCAATTGACTAGGGCTTTTTTAATTTCAGGTGCAATGCTGCGCCTTGTTCGTTACATATTTGTTATGCAAGCAGAACGAAGACGAATTTCGAGAAAACGTAAACCAATTCATTGACAAATTTATTACTTCGGAACGAATGGAAAAACATAACGCCTATGGTAATTATCAAGTGGTGTCAAATTTTGCGTCTGAGGCAGCGTGAATTATAAATTTTAGCTCTTCTTTTACAATGTGTATACAATGCGAATATGAATCAAAGTGACCCTTACACACAGTTTCTATATAGTGCTCGCCGGATACAAGCGCCAAATTTTGCATAAAGCTTTCTGAGACCCTAACAAACCATCTCCGAGTTACCAGTTCCGATGGGTCAGTGGGAACCCTTTTCATAAGGATTCGAACCCCCTTGACAAAAAATCCGCACTTCCGGCAGCAACCGGAAGTTGTGGAAGTGTAAAAATGACTTCTACCGTTTTAACGCGAATTTTCTGAGTATTAACTGCGATTCCGTGCGCTTAAGACTCATTCTTAAAACTGGTACCAGTGGCGGCATAAAGGGGGGGGGGGCATTTCTGGGGCCGCTTCTCAAAACTTAAGTTAGTCAAAAATTATGTTGGTGATCTGAAATAAAGGCATGTCGTCATGTGTACAGTGTTCCAAATTATCTGTTTTCGATGCTTTTGAGCAAACTTTGCTGCTGTGTCTTAAAAACTAAGCAGGGTATGGAAAATAGGAAAATATAAAAATACCACCTTACTAAGGGACTATTTTTACATGACGTTTATTTTTTTTAAACTTTTTTGAAATTCCCCCAAATAGTTATACAGCAAAAATTGTTTTTTGCATTTTTGGACTTTTGCGCTGTTGTCCACGTTTGCGCATCGTCGATCTATGCACCTTTGAAAAGTAAACAAGTGCAAACCGTATCACTCTATGTCTTTTAAATCTCAAAATCTTGCTGAAAAAGAAAAACATCGAAAACAAGCAATTTGGAACACCCTGTAGATAAGTGTTTTCATCGTACCTATCAATTTGTTGGCGATTTTGTGGCGAATGGGAGAAGAAAAGGGGGATGTATGCGAGCGTAATTTTGGTTGACCGCACCGAGTACCAGCGGTAGCTACTCCGCCACTGCGTTATAAGGAACCATTACGGCATTAAGTGATAATGTGTTGTCATAACTACCCACCCACAAAATGGTTTAATACCCACTTTAGCTCTAGTAACAGCGACATCTCGCCTCCAGGCATTTTTCGTTGAGACCTTTCATTAGAGTGCCATGAAGGCTAAAACCAGTTGCGCCCCCCCCCCCGCTATTTTAATAAAGGGCAAGAAAGAAGGGTGGTTGTTGGTAAAAAACAGTTCCTTTTGTTGAGATTAATTAGAATAAGGAAAGTTGTAATTTGTAGAAAGCAATTCATTCGATGAGATCTTTCTTTCATAAGAATACCATGTTGAGCAGAATGTGTGGTCGCCCCTCCCCCCTTGCAAAGTATGACTTGGCACCACTAAAGAGTAAAGACATGTGTATGCAAACTGTGAGACCAATTGGTTATCGCATGTAAAAGTTATGCACGTTTTACTTCCAATAACAGCATCTTTGTAAATAATACATGGGGCAGCCCCCCCCCCCCCTCTTAAGACAGTGAAATTTGATGGCAACTTATACTTATAGCAAATTCCAGGACTCTATGACCATTCCCCTAAAAGTAGTTCAACATGGCAGAAGTGGGTCGGACGAACGGACAAAACTCAAACAATAGCACATTTTTAAATAATTAAAAAAATGCGCTAAAAATTGGATTGTGCAAATACAAAAATATCCGTGCACATGGACAGACAGGCGGATAGACTGACACACGGACAGACAGCAATACAATACAATCTCGAGGACGGTTAGTAAACGTCAAAAGTGTAAAATTATAGTACATACTGCATATATGGAAAAAATCAAGTTTATACCATAACCGAATATGAAGAATAAAACCAGTTCCACTCCCCCCAACCCCACCCCCTCTCTTGGTTAGGGGTCAGAAAGGATGGAGGTAGTTGGTAGAAAACGGTTCCTTTCATTGAGACCTTTAATTAGAATACTATGAAAGATAAAAATTAATTTCTAACCCCTCCCACCCCCACCCCCCCATCACACAAGCTCCGTCGCCCCCCGATCTCGAAACCCGCAAGAAAGTTATAGTTTGTACCAACTAATTTATTTCGATGAGACCTTTCATTAGAATACCATGAAGGGTAAAACGTGTGTTACCCCCCCCCCCCACGTATGTAACAGTTATGCACGTTTTACTTTCAAAAACAACATCTCTGGAAATAATTCATGCCTCCCCCCCCCCTCCCCAAGACAGTGAAATTTAATGGCCGTGTGGCTCATCTTCAAGGTACACGCTACCTATTCCAGGACCATTCCCCTAGAAGAAATTCCAAACGGCAGGAGTGGGTTCGGACGGACGGACGGACAAAACGCAAACAATACCACATTTTTTAATCCTTAAAAAAATGCGCTAAAAGTAGAACCATAGCTCTTAAGATAAATAACAAATAGCGACCAAACGGCCTTAGGAACGGACAAACGGACGCACAGACGGACGGATAGTACCCACAATAGCGCATTTTTTTAAGAATTAAAAAAAATTTGCTATTGCTATTTGCGTTTTGTCCGTCCGTCCGTCCGGACCCATTTCTGCCGTTTTGAACTATGTCCTAGAAGAACGGTTCTGTCCTGGAATACGCATGCCTTTAACGGTGCCAAATAAAACTTTTAAGGGGGGGGGGGGGCGTTCTTTCAGTGCTAATATCTGCGGACCGGAGTGTCGGAGGATTTTGAATGTATGCCAAGCGGCCTTTAACCGTTTATGTGTAAAGGGCCTCCGTCCCATTAGTCATCTATCAAGAAACTAAACATTTATAGCATGCTACTATCTTCCAAATTACTCAAGTCTCTGAAATTACTTGATTTTGATGTTTTTCAGGAACATTTTGAGAACTAAAAGAGATAGAGTGATGCGGTTTGCACTTCTAGTAGTTACTTTTCAAAGCTGCCTAGATTAGCGATGTCAATTTTGATGTATGACTTACGCGAACCTAGCAACAGCGCTAAAGTTAAAAAATGCAATAAAACGTTTTTGCTTTATAACTTAGCTATTTGTGGAAGTAGGTATCTGGAAAGTGGAAAGAATAAAAGTTATGTAAAAATAGTCTCTTAAAAGGAGTATTTTTATGTTTTCGATAGCCTGCTTAGTTTTTAAGACACAGCACCAAAGTTTGCTTTTTCAAAACCAATTTATATTTTTTGTACCAATAACTTCCTTATTTTGTCTAATTAGAGAAATACATAATTATCAGTATGTTTGAAAATTGAAATAAATAAGGAAAACCGTTTTTCAGTCATGAAAATGGGGATGAAAATAATACAAGTAGGCCGTGAAATATATAGTTCGTCTTTCAGTAAATGCTCAAAATAACAGTAGTTTAATAGGATTTGCTCATTTACCTCAAATCCGACTGAAAACTGTGTCTATGGTTTGCTCTGATTTATATTGATTACAGAGACTAGCTAATTACTAACTAATTTATAGAATTTTAACTGAATAAGATAAATGAGCAAATCCTATTAAAATACTGTTAGTTTGAGCATTTTCTGAAACATGAACTATATATTCCACGGCCTACTTGTATTTAATCCACATTTTCAAGATTGAATAACGGATTTCCCTAATTATTTCAATTTTCTTCTCATCAAACATACTGATAAGTATGTATTTTTCTAATTAGAAAAAATAAGGAATTTATTGGTGCAAAAAAATTATAGGTAGGTATACACATTCACATTTGAAAAAACAAACTTTGGTGCTGTATCTTAAAAACTAAGCAGGCTATGGGAAATATAAAAATGCGAGAATATGCGAGAATATGTTTACATAGCTTTTTTTTTATTTTTTTTATATTCCCACAAATAACTAACTGCGATCAAAATCGGACTACCATTGATTTCCCTTTGCTCGTTGAAAAGCAAAACGGGTCGCTCATAAAACGTTTACGCCGCGCTGCCGTACGACATATGGACGGACAAGGTACATAATCTCAGAGCGTTTGGTTCCAAAAATAATTCACCCTCACGGGCAAAAAAGGGAAAGCATAAAGTCCTCTAGCTAGAGTATGCGGACGAATACAAAGGATACAGAGCTTGGTCTGTTATTGAAAATAGGATCGAATTAGCCGAGATGTCAAATTTATCGACGACCACCAAGTTGGGCCCAATTAATTACAAAAATACTAAATATTGCATAAAAACCGCTTCTGTATGATTCACCTAGATAAAATTAATGATTTTTCTATTTTCAAGTCTATTATTGCTCTCCGAATACAGGAGAAAATCTCCTCTATTTCCAGAAGCATGGAAAATAAGCGGTGAAGCTGTGGTACACTCAAGAATGACTGAAACTTATGTTTCATGCGTAACCTTCGACTGGGTCATTTACAACAAAATTAGTTTTTTTTAATAAACTTAGTAGGTATTTACTTCTATCGGAAATATTTAAATAAGAAGTTTAAATGCACCCACGCATCAACAAAATTCTTTATTTCGTTTACCTGACACGGTAACACCTGGTTTTTAGGAATGGCTTATCCGATATGGCAATTTTTTTAATGCCTACACCAACCCTAACTCCTAACCGGTACTCCTAAACGACGTGCGATCGGAGTTGAAACTTGGTAATACATCGAAATCCCTGAACATTCCAAATACATAAATAATTTGTTCGTTGATTTCCTAGAAATTGGTTGCCGTTTAGTTACAGTGACCAAAGTCGACACCCATCGCTATAAGAGTTTATGGGGAAGGTCAGCTATTCGCATAAATTTTGAAAATACGTTAAAATCAGTAAAAACTTTGAAATTTTCTTTCCTTGGCACCGATTTCCAAAAACATTTTTTCCATTTTCTAAAGTACCAGATGACTGTGGAAAAGAATATCATTCATTTATGCCAATGCTAAACACTTGTTTCTTCAAACTAAACATCTGGCATCGATAGAATATTGAAAAATTCCTAATCTTTTAATGAGTCATACGCTGGTGGCTGACCAGTACAGTACCAAATCATGATGCCTATTGATTGTACGCCTTTTACGATACAATTAACCAGTTTATTTGAGAAAAAATATTGCGATAATACCTCATCCTTTAGGCCGAGCGCTTTTTTTAATAAAAAGTAAACGACTTACCTTGGCACCAGCCAGTACTTCTTCTCCTAGATAGGGTCCACCATCGCATCATTGCACTGGATCACGGAACAAGCGGTTTTCACAAAGGTCACAATAAACGCGACGCTAAAACACGACGAAAAATGGTCACGGCAGCTGCAAAAATCGGCACAAAGAAATGATTAATTAAAATTACCTTTCGCTCTTTGGGCAAAATACCCGCCTTATCTCGTAACGAAGAACGTGTCGGCCGGTTCCTAAGCGACGAATATCTACGAACGCATTGGACACGTGCGCAACAATAGAGCCCACTACGGTTGTTTATCTCTTAAAATATAAAACAGATACAACGGCATTCTAATGATCCACTCCAATTGGTTTTTCCATCTTTTTGGTTAATATAATATCTAAGATAAGAAATTCCTTTTGTAGTTTCTATTCCGTTTTTGTGATTTGTATTTATGGCTCTTATTTCCCTGGTAAAATGCATCCACCTTGTTTCCTAGCAGAAGTTTAAGTGTGGGTATTTTTCTCACACTGTAACTTAGGCACTACAAAATAGTGAAATACCTACCTATCCTTTACTCTCTTTCTAATGGAAAACAGTTTTGTAGCTTTAAATCGTCCTGAACAAAATCAAAAGCTTAGATAATTTAGAAATGGGGCACTTTCGAATGTGTGTATTTTTTAATCAACTACTTTCGTCTCTAAAAAGTGTGAAGAAAATGTGATTTTCCTCTTTAGCGAGGAAAGTAAAAAATGATCAAAGTCCTCGTGTGAGATCGAAGGGACTTCAGCGCATTTTTGTGTGGCAGATCAGTGTTTTATTAGCCAATATTGACTCCACCATCAATAAGATCTTGCCGAAAGCTACCACGTTCACTTTGTCGGTACCATTTTCTCACTTACCGTGCACTCGCAATTCGCGTTTGAAGTTTTGACTCCACCATCATTAAAATCCTTTGGGGGTTACCATATTCCCTTTGTCGACACCCACTTCTGATCACCCGCAACAATTCGGATTTGAAGTTTCGACTCCACCATCAGTAAGATCTCGTCGGGGGTTACCACATTCCCTTTGTCGATACACAGTTCCGACGTCCCGTTCATTCGTAATTCACATTTTGGTAGATTTCGCTAAAATCCCGGCATAAAATCGTATTCAACTTTTGGGTACTTCACATAGCTCGACCTTCTATTAGTGACACGAGAAAGAGAGACCGCGATTCGCGCTGTAAGAAACTTTTGGGCGCCCAAAGTCGTCTACCCCTCGAAGCGCGCCGCGCAAAAGGTGGTTTATGTCGCCCCTAGGAAAAAAAAACAAAATTCCGCGACGCAGGAGTTGTGCGCGTTGACAAGATCTTCCCGACGACACCAATTTGAAAACAATCGGAGAAAAACTGTAGAAGAAGATAGATAAAAACTGAAAAATCTCCAGGTTAGTATAATACGCTCGGGGATGGCGTCCAGATGTCGTCGACTCCAAATCTTGTAGCCCCATCCCTAACGTTCTTAATTACACGGCCCCGATAGTTACATGTACACTCCTTGTCTTTTTACAAGCGTTTTTCTACGGGCGCGCATTTACTGCCAGCCAGCCAGCCAGCCAGCCAGCCAGCCGACCAGCCAGCCAGCCAGCCAGCCAGCCAAAGTGAGATTAAAAGCTACTTTTTACAAAAAAAATTTTTTGCAAAAATGCGCTAAAAACAATTGCTCCTCTTAATAACGATATGACATTTAAAATTGAAACCCCCATATCTAGATTGCTGTGTGTCCAATATCGCTGTACCATTCTAGCACATCCTTGCTGTAATAATGGCAGTTGGCTAGATCTGCCCAAAACATAATCGGACCATCATGGGACTTAATAAAAGATAAAATTTGTTTGTTGAGGCACTCCCTTTTATACCGGGTGAATATTCGCAAACCGAACATAGGGAATTAACATGGAAAAAAGGTTTTTAGCGCATTTTTGCAAATTTATTTATAAAAATTATCAAAGTCCTCGTTTGAGATCGAAGGGACTTCAGCGCATTTTTGTGTGGCAGATCAGTATTCGATTCAACCATCAATAACAGATCTTGTCGAAGGCTACTACATTCACTAACCGCTTCCCACTTTCCTCGTGCACCCGCAATTCGCTTTTAAAGATTTGACTCCACCATCAGGCAGATCGTGTCGGGGGCTACCACATTCCCTTTGACGGTACCCACTTCCGACGTTCGGTTCACCCGCAATTCGCGTTTGAAGATTTGACTCCACCATCAGGAAAATCGTGTCGGGGGCTACCACATTTCCTTTGACGGTACTCCCTTCCGACGTCCCGTTCACCCGCAATTCGCGTTTGAAGATTTGACTCCACCATCAGGAAGATCGTGTCGGGGGCTACCACATTTCCTTTGACGTTCCCCCCTTCCGACGTCCCGTTCGCCCGCAATTCGCGATTGAAGATTTGACACCACCATCAGTGAGATCGTGTCGCGGGCTACCACATTCCCTTTTACGGTACCCACTTCCGATGCCCCGTTCACCCGCAATTCGCGTTTGAAGATTTGACTCCACCATCAGGAAGATCGTGTCGGGGGCTACCACATTCCCTTTGACGGTACCTCCTTCCGCCGTCCCGTTCACCAGCAATTCGCGTTTGAAGATTTGACTCCACCATCAGTGAGATCGTGTCGCGGGCTACCACATTCCCTTTTACGGTACCCACTTCCGACGTCCCGTTCAACCGCAATTCGCGTTTGAAGATTTGACTCCACCATCAGGAAGATCGTGTCGGGGGCTACCACATTCCCTTTGACGGTACCTCCTTCCGACGTCCCGTTCACCCGCAATTCGCGTTTGAAGATTTGACTCCACCATCAGGAAGATCGTGTCGCGGGCTACCACATTCCCTTTTACGGTACCCCCTTCCGACGTCCCGTTCACCCGCAATTCGCGTTTGAAGATTTGACTCCACCATCAGGAAGATCGTGTCGGGGGCTACCACATTTCCGTTGACGGTACCCCCTTCCGACGTCCCGTTCACCCGCAATTCGCGTTTGAAGATTTGACTCCACCATCAGTGAGATCGTGTCGCGGGCTACCACATTCTCTTTTACGGTACCCACTTCCGACGTCCCGTTCCCTCGCAATTCACTTCTATTGGCGACACGAGAAAGAGAGACAGCGATTCGAGATTCACGAAACTTTAAACCGCGTGAGTTCGCAACGGAAGGTAAAAGGCGCCTGACTACTTCTCGAAGACGCGCGCGCCGCCTCGCAAAAGGTCGTTAATTTCGCCCCTATGACAAAAAACAAAATTCCCCCACGCAGGAGTTGTGCGCGTTTACAACATCTTTCCGACGACACCAATTTCAAAAGAATCGGACCAAAACTGTAGTAGAAGATAGGAAAAAAACTGAAAAACCTTCACGTTAGTATACTACGCTCGAGGATGACGCCCAGATGTCGCCAACCCCACATCATGTAGCCATGTCCCTAAGGTTGACAAATTTAACGGCCCTGTAGATACACGTACACCCGTTGCCTTTCTACAAGAGTTCTTCTACGCGCCCACATTTGCTGCCAGCCAGCCAGCCAGCCAGCCAGCCAGCCAAAGTGAGATTAAAAGCTACTTTTTACAAAAAAATTTTTTTGCAAAAATGCGCTAAAAAGTAGCTTTTAATCTCACCTTGGCTGGCTGGCTGGCCGGCTAGCTGGATGGCAGCAAATGTGGGCGCGTAGAAGAACTCTTGTAGAAAGGCAACGGATGTACGTCTATCTACAAGGCCGTGTAATTTGTCAACCTTAGGGACAGAGCTACATGATGTGGGGTTGGCGACATCTGGGCGTCATCCTCGAGCGTAGTTTACTAACGTGAAGGTTTTTCAGTTTTTTTCTATCTTCTACTACAGTTTTGGTCCGATTCTTTTCAAATTGGTGTCGTCGGAAAGATGTTGTAAACGCGCACAACTCCTGCGTGGTGGAATTTTGTTTTTTGTCCTAGGGGCGAAATTATAACGACCTGTTGCAAGGCGCGCGCGCTTCTTCGAGAGGTAGTCAACTTCGAGCGCCTTTTACCTTCCGTTGCGAATTTTGTCACGCGGTTTAACGTTTCGTAAATCTCGAATCGCTCTCTCTCTTTCTCGTGTCGCCAATAGCTCGGGCAATGAGAAGTGCCCCAAAAATTAGTACTATCTTGTGGAAGGTTTTTAGCGAAATCCACCAAAATGTGGGTGATGCACCGAAAAAGGAAATGTAGTAGCCTCCGACAAGATCTAACTGATGATGAAGTGAAAACTTCAAACGCGAATTTGGGGTGATCGGGGCATCGGAAGTGGGTACCAACAAAGAGGATGTGGTAGCCCCTAAGGTAGCCCGCTACACGATCTTACTGATGGTGGAGTCAAAATTTCAAAATTTGATTTTGTGCATGCACCGTACCGTTATTATTTACGAAAGCATTTAAATAAAAATTTTTTACTAAAGAATCTGCCATTTGAAAACCAAAATATTTAAGAAACATTGAAAACGTCGTGCAAATTGAAGACAAAGCTATCTTTATCATCTACCTATTTTTACAGATGTAGATACATGGATCACGGTGATGCTGGTCTACTTCTCAATTTTGTCAGCATGTTCAATCCTCCTGGTAATCGGATCATTTAAGGTACGTAGGAATATTTTGTATGGAATAGTACATGATACTTACTGATCTATGGGGTAATGGGGTATTGGACAGCCTTTCAAACGTTTGTTGGATCGTTCATACCCACACAATTCATGTCCTATACTGAGAACTTCTTGATTATTTCCTGAATGCAGAGCTGGGCAGAATACTTTCAAAAAGTATTTTAATACTATATAAATAGTAGGTAAATACTTTACACAAATCAAAGGTATTTGAATACTAAATACTTTTACCTCCAGCACAAGCGAATACTAGATACAGATACATTGAAAAGTATTCAAATACTTAAAAAAATAAGTATTCAAATACTTTAGAATGTATTCGAATACTATAAAAAGTATTCGAAAGTATTACTTTGTATGGGGTTAGCTTTTTTTATATTTCTATTGTTATATACAAATTTAAGGGGAGTAAAAGCGTATTATTATTATTATTATATTATTATATAGGAGGTACCTACCAGGACCTTTCTTATACCAGTTATATCCTTAATAATACGCGTCGTGCACATGATACGTACGCCTTTCTGAAATTAATCCTAGCGATTTTGGAACAGATCCATTTTTGACCATCCGTTTGTCCGTGTGCATGATAACTTGTTTAGAAACGTGCGATCGCTTTGAAAATTGGTACACATGGTCTTAAGGATATAAGAAAGGTCCCTATATTGTTGTTAAGTTACGTAGACTATCGAGTTCGGTATTCAGATGTATCGGATTTTTATATTTGATTTTCCCTAAACATTTCTAAATTGTTCTCAAATATTTGAATAACTTAAAAGTACTGCCTTTTTTTGAGGCCGGAAAAAAAATTGTCTGAGATCGACCGGGAAAAAACATTTTCTTATAGAATTTGGCCCCTGATTTGGCCCGTAGAATCCATAATTTCAAACAGTTTGAAGATTGGGCTACTACCTCAAAAATTACAACCCTTTGAATTTTTTTCGAAATTTGTTTTTTGTCCATAACTTTTGATTGAGAAGTCCGATCGAAAAAAGTACGAATTGTTTTGGATTCTACGCACCAAAATTAATAAGAAAAAGTGTTTTCTCGAGAAATTTTGGAGTAGTCGATTTTTGGTAAAAAAAGGAAGGTTAAGTATTTGAATACTTTAAAGGATTTGAATACTAAAAAGTATTTACAAAATCGAATACTGCCCAGCTCTGCCTGAATGGTACATACAATATACCCACGGGTTGAATAACCCAAACTCCTGTTTAGGCACCAAAGTTCAAAAAACTCGAAAACCATTTGATTTGGCTTACCGTGACCTATCAAATTTGGTAAAAGTACAAGGTCGCCCTGTTCAAAATAAAGCCCTAGATAACTTCCGGTAACCCCAACTAAACATGAATCCAAATAAATTAGCCTTTTTAATAATATTTATGTATATATTGCACAAATTTCGCGTATAATAATAATCGATTCACCTCGTCCTTGTACGTTTTAGTTTTGTAAACACTAAATTAAGAATTGTTTATCATTGTCAAATTAACTACTTAATTTTTTTTGAGAGCTACTCTGACTCTGGCATAGGTATAAAAAGTTCTAAGCATGAAATATCGGGTACGAAAGATCCATAGCCGGGTGTTGGGTACCAATCCGTTGCAGAAGTATGCACAGTGCCGGATTTAGGGGGGGGGCTATGGGACTATTAGCCCCCGGCGGTAAATTTTGAGTGGCGGTATGTCGTCGCTCTCATCACGTTTTAATTCTAAATGTAGATATTTAATTTATGGGGTTCAGTTTCTGAATTAGTATGGTAATAAAACTTCTTATCTTCACCTATAAGATCGACGATGTCGGCGATAGCAGGTCACTGGACCGCACAAAAACCCTAGCAAAAACACGTTTCATTTTTCCGGGAAATCTGCACTTTGCTGACAAATGACATTACCTCATCATCCGTTATCTACCTCTATTTTCCATTGACTATATTGTCGGGCACATTTACTTGCTAAACCCTTATTACAAGCAATTATTAAGCGGCAGAGTAAAGCGATGCAAGGTTTATAGGGGAGTCGATGGTGTCCGTCTGTCCGTCCGTGAACACGATAACTGCCAAACGAATGGACGGATTCGGTTCAAACTTTGCACAGTTGACTTACATGCCACATATAACAAGCCTATTGAAAATAGGTGAAATTGAATGATCCCGTTGGGTCAAACCTTAAGCGTCAAAGCAAAGCGATGATGCAAGGGGAGTCGATGGTGTCCGTCTGTCCGTGAACACGATAACTGTCAAACGCTTGGATCGATTTGGTTCAAATTAACTTTGCACAGTTGACCATATGCCACAAGTGATAAGCCTATTGAAAATGAGTCAAATCCAATGACCCCTTGGGGACTCAGACTCAGACGTCATTATGCGTTAGCGCAGAAAAGTTTGCTCATTTATTAGTGGAGTGTTTCCAAGAATGAGCGAAAAAGAAGGGGGTGCATTTTGGAAACGACAAAAGTTAGAAAAACAACAAAAATTAAATGAAGTATTACAAAAAAAAACACCAAGATACAGCTTTTTTTCCTACCTACTGGCGGTATAGTATGACTTAGCCCCCGGCGGTCCATGAACTAAATCCGGCACTGAGTATGCAATTGATTTAGAAGAAACACGCTAAGAATAATGTGCCATTCCAAACATTAAACATATCTGCCTATATACAAATTTCTTTACTGTAAGAAACGGTCTTTTTTAGTGCAAACCGATGCTAATCTTTCCATTTCTGACAGCTTACCCCATATATGTAGTGCTATGGCTAACTACCCACGTCAGAGTGATGGTCGGTCTGAAAAATCAAGATATTGGAATCGGGAATTTAATACTTTACAGTAATCTTGGAGGATTTCTCATATGTAAGTTGCTTTCGAGCCTTCGAGGTAAGTAGGTGTTTGTGTAGTTATTGCCGAGATGTTTCAGTACTCCTTCTCTACATGTGGTTTTGCGTATTTTGTTTTGTTCAAATGGTTTATGAATTAAAATCGGAAATGAAGAAGGAAAAGAATGTTGGCAACTCAAAAAATAACAATGAGCCCAAGAAGATTGCGAGAGCTGATAATTATTACAAGATATATTTACCATAAGATCGAGATATACCTGTGTGTAAACTCTATCTATGAATTAAATTTTGCAGCACAAATAAACAAAGTAAATTGATAGGTAAGCGTTTTATTAACAAATAATATGGAAATTAGCGCATAGTCATATGGCCACAAAATCTTCTGGTGCAGAGTGTAGATGCAGAACAGAATCAAAACCTGGATGCCAAGGTAAGTGCGCATTTAATTTGATTATACACACTAGTTAGTGTGTGTAATTTATTCAAAGACTTGTCCAGTAACTTTGTTCCTAAAAATGGGGGGTACCAAGCGTCAAATCCGCGCGGTAGTTCTGATTTTTTGTGGGATTGCTTGTGTTGTTAACCCAATGTATAATTCAAGTTTTCGACCACGAGCGGCGAACGCAACATAGTCAAATATACTAAAAACCGAGGAATTTTCGTTTTCTTTTCAGATTTTGACGATTTTAACCCTGAAGGACCAGTTTTTTGCCAATAACGGTTCAATAGGTTTTCAAAGCAGACTAAATTTGCTATAATTTAAGCCCACAGCCGTTTGTATAGGTGTAATTGATTCCGAGATAATGCTTTTCAAAGATTGGCAATTTTTCGAATTCAAAAATCTTTCACAAAACTTTATGGGTGACGTTTCTATTCTGTTTTACACAGATGCCAAGAATGGGCGGTATTACGCTGAAAAATAAAACGAATAATGAATTTTGTAAGGTGGTAGTTTCTGTTGCCAACTAAACTGTCGAACAATCATTAGCTGTTAATGTCAAAGATCCAAGAGTGTAAATCGTTTGATTTAGTTCTGTTCAGTTCAGTGCTGGATATTTTTACTTTACAATAATTTGATGCCGTTTTTTATTTTCCCTGATTTTTTTCTGATCTAGAAATGGTGGAGGACGTATTGTGGAGAGATGTTACACAAGATATTGACAATCCAGCCACAAACCTTTCAAGTGAGGAAATGGACGATGCTCAACCGTGCTCGTCCAAGAAGGGAAAATGTACTTAGATGGAAGTCAAACAAAATTTCTTTTTATAAAATGACTGTTTTGAAGTTTAATTAAGAATATCACTTACGCCTCTCGTTTTCTTTTATAGAATTATCTACAGAACAACAAAATAGTGCTAACAATTTTCGACTTTGAAAAAATCGATAAACTTTGAAAAGCATTATCTCCTAAAGCTAAACTATTACGTCTGTAGAAACGGTTGTAGCCTCAAATTGTAAACAATTTAGTCTACTTTCAAAGCGTATTCATTAGTTATTTTCGACAAACTGGTCCTTCGGGGTTAAAATCGTCAAAATCTGAAAAGAACACGAAAATTCATCGGTTTTTAGTATATTTGACTATGTTGCGTTCGTCGCTCGAGGTACATTGGGTTAACAAAAAATCAGAACTACCGGATTTGACGTATGGTCTGATGTATATAGTTACCGGACTACACATTCTATAAGAAAATTTTTTTTCCGGGTCGATCTGAGACAATTTTTTTTTCGGGGCTCAAAAAAGGCAGTGTATAACCTTCCTTTTTTACCAAAAATCGACTGCTCCAAAATTTCTCGGGAAAACACTTCTTCTTATTAATTTTGGTGCGTAGAAACAAAAACAATTCGAACTTTTTCGATCGGACTTCTCAATCAAAAGTTATGGACTAGAAACCAATTTCGAAAGAAAATTCAAAGGACTGTAACTTTTGAACTAGTAGCCCAATCTTGGAACTGTTTGAAATTATGGATTCTACAGGCCACATTCTATAAGAAATTTTTTTTCCGGGTCGATCTGAGACAAATTTTTTTTCGGGGCTCAAAAAAAGGCAGTGTATAACCTTCCTTTTTTACCAAAAATAGACTACTCCAAAATTTCTCGGGGAAACACATTTTTTATTAATTTTGGTGCGTAGAATCCAAAACAATACGAACTTTTTCGATCGGACTTCTCAATCAAAAGTTATGGACTAGAAACCAATTTCGAAAGAAAATTCAAAGGACTGTATAACTTTTGAACTAGTAGCCCAATCTTGGAACTGTTTGAAATTATGGATTCTACAGGCCACATTCTATAAGAACTTTTTTTTTTCCGGGTCGATCTGAGACAATTTTTTCTTCAGGGCTCAAAAAAAGGCAGTGTATAACCTTCCTTTTTTACCAAAAATAGACTACTCCAAAATTTCTCGGGAAAACACATATTCTTATTAATTTTGGTGCGTAGAATCCAAAACAATTCGAACTTTTTCGATCGGACTTCTCAATCAAAAGTTATAGACTAGAAACCAATTTCGAAAAAAATTCAAAGGGCTGTAACTTTTGAACTAGTGGCCCAATCTTGGAACTGTTTGAAATTATGGATTTTACAGGCCACATTCTATAAGAACATTTTTTTTCCGGGTCGATCTGAGACAATTTTTTCTTCAGGGCTCAAAAAAGGCAGTGTATAACCTTCCTTTTTTTACCAAAAATCGACTGCACCAAAATTTCTCGGGAAAACACTTGTTCTTATTAATTTTGGTGCGTAGAACCCAAAACAATTCGTACTTTTTCGATTAGACTTCTCAATCAAAAGTTATAGACTAGAAACCAATTTCGAAAAAAAATTCAAAGGGCTGTAATTTTTGAACTAGGAGCCCAATCTTGGAACTGTTTGAAATTATGGATTCTATGGGCCACATTCTATAAGAAAATTTTTTTCCGGGTTGATCTGAGACAATTTTTTCTTCGGGGCTCAAAAAAAGGCAGTGTATAACCTCCCTTTTTTACCAAAAATCGACTGCACCAAAATTTCTCGGGAAAACATTTTTTTATTAATTTTGGTGCGTAGAATCCAAAACAATTCAAAATTTTTCGATCGGGCTTCTCAATCAAAAGTTATGGACTAGAAACCAATTTCGAAAGAAACTTCAAAGGGCTGTAACTTTTGAACTAGTAGCCCAATCTTGGAACTGTTTGAAATTATGGATTCTACAGGCCACATTCTATAAGAACATTTTTTTTCCGGGTCGATCTGAGACAATTTTTTCTTCAGGGCTCAAAAAAGGCAGTGTATAACCTTCCTTTTTTTACCAAAAATCGACTGCACCAAAATTTCTCGGGAAAACACTTTTTCTTATTAATTTGGTGCGTAGAATCCAAAACAATTCGTACTTTTTCGATCAGACTTCTCAATCAAAAGTTATAGACTAGAAACCAATTTCGAAAAAAAAATTCAAAGGGCTGTAACTTTTGAACTAGTAGCCCAATCTTGGAACTGTTTGAAATTATGGATTCTACAGGCCACGTTCTATAAGAAAATGTTTTTTTCCCGATCAATCTGAGACAATTTTTTTTTCCGGCGTGTTTGTTTTTTTTTGGTATAATTAAAGGCAATAATATTATTATTATTATTAATACATTTAAGTTATTCAAATATTTGAGAACAATTTAGAAATGTTTAGGGAAAGTTTCCATTGTCACAAAATATGACAATAGTATATTAAGATACAAGTGTATAATCAAGTCTGTAAAGCACGCGCAATGAGTTTAATGGCATGACGCGAAGCGGAGCGAAATCATATACGCGTTTTTATGCTATCGCCAGCATTAATATCAAGGAAAAACAGATAATTTTGAGTAAGCCGGATAAATAAATGGGTAGGTAAGTTAATAAAAGCGATTGGACTCGTCGCGTTTAGTGCCCATTGATCGCCTTTTACGATCTCCAGGGCGGGAGTGGGTCAATTCTACCCCCGAACCCACAAGGGGTAACAAATGTACCATACGGCTTGAATGTTGATGCTGGTTTGCAGTTAGCCTCGTAGTAGGAGTAATAGCATCAAGTGATTGACACATTTTCTCAATAATAATAATAATAATAATAATAATAATAGAGATTTATTGCCCAGCAGAGCAGACATTCCAATTACAGGACAATACATATTTTTAATAGTTAAAATTGTAGCAGTAGCAGTAAGTAGGTACTTCGAAATCTTGAACTTCATACCGAGATGCAAGACTTTTTTCATATAAATTGTAAGATTCTCGCTTCCATTTTGTTATGATGACTTGACTAATTAAGGGTACCGCTCACTGGTGTGAAGCACGATGACACGCCGCAAAGCGACGCGGAACGGATTTTATTTAAAACATAGTTTTAAATGAGAGAGCGCACACATGTCTGAAGCGCAACGAAGGGCCCTTTTTCTGTTTCTTCGCATAAAACGGAGTGCGCTGTATGTGCGTATAGGCGCGGAAATGCGCTCCTGACAGAAAGTGTTTTTCATATTTCACACAATTGAATGCCTTTTTCAGATCTACTAAGCACAGATTTACAGTTCTTCCTCATTTTATACCGGGTGGTGCCTAGCGCGACGCAGCATAGGGATTTCAATGGTAATTTCTTTGTAGTCAATTACTAGCTCCCCTAATTATTTTAGAGCAAAAGTCTAAATACGTTTTTTTTTAGAGAAAAAAATACTGCATCTGTTCATGCTATTACTCATAATTTTCCGTTTTTCAAAACCGTAGAAATCGACAAAATAAAAAGGTCCATTTTACAATAAATCAAATATGCCTTGGAATTACTTAAAAAAACAGCGATCACGTTTCATTATTTGTCTTTGACGTATATTAAATTTATACTTATTTATAAATTAGTTAAAGAACTGCAAGTGCAATAACGTTCAAAATGTCCGTCAAAACCATCAGGAAAACGACAATACATTCAACGTTTTGGCTGCAGTAGCGGAAAATCCGAATATAAGTTTAGGAATAAATCTTCTTCAAATCAGTTTTTTTTCTTCGATTATGTAGGTACTCTGATTCCGGAAAATAATAAACAAATAGTATCTGATGCAGATGCAGCATACATTCTCTAAAAAAGATTACCCTAAGATGCCTTTTATTGCGTCGGTTAGTTGAAACAGAATTAAATATGAAAATCGTTCGATCTCAAACAACAATAACTTAGAGGCGATGCGCTTGTAGTTTGTTAAAAGATTCCAAAGCATCACTGATTTATAAAAATGTAATTTTCTATTTTGTCGATGTCTACGGTTTTGAAAAATGGAAAATTATAACTAAAAGTATGAACAGATGTAGTATTTTTTTCTCTAAAAAAAACTTATTTAGACTTTTGCTCTAAAATAATTAGGGGAGCTAGTAATTGACTATAAAGAAATTACCATTGAAATCCCTATGCTGCGTTGCGCTAGGCACCACCCTGTATATCTTTCTCCTATTGTTTTACTGCATCCCTGGTTCTCAAACCCATGCAGAATCCAAATTGATTGTCCCCCACTACCCCCTAATTGACCTCCCATCCAACACCCACAACAAATAGCAGCATGAGGTATAACACCGATGGTTCTGTGTATCTACCTTCAATCATGATGAAATCAATCTGCTTTCGATATGTCTGCAGGAGATTTCCAGGTGTAAAAAGTTTCCTTTTACGACGTTCGATCAGTGTTGGCTATGACCATTGAATAAGTAATCTTATTCAATGCTATGACCATCCTCGTTTCCTTGCACAATTCTATTAGGTATACGCCCCTTTCATTCCTTGCTCCAAATCCATAATCTCAAACGACTCTATCCACTCTACCTACCCATTTTTAATTTCCTGCTTTCACAAAGATCACTTTGATCATATCTACTATTCAACTCCTCTAAGTAACTTCTTTATGGAGCTACCAACGCTAAACACGTCTATTCGTGACAAAATGGCTGGCCAAGAATTGAGAGAAGAATAAATAGGTATTGCAAAAACTGTATTTCCAGATTAGAATAAAAACAACAAAACTAAAACAAAATAAATCACAATCATAAATTAAATATCTTAATTTATTATACTTGGCAAAGAAAAATATACAGTATATTTAATTATTTACACAGGCTAATTACACAAACACCATTCAATTTTCAAGTATAACCTCCTAACAAAAATCATTTGGCAAATTATAGGATAGTATCGTTTATATAAACACTGCTTACTACCATGAATTGATTATAAAATTTTATTAAACACCGATTTCCTAATATACACACAATCGATTTAATTAAAAAATGAAATCTTAAAATTTTAATTTTGGCAGTAATTGTACAAAAGATTAACATAAAAAACATACAAAAAATATAATAAATGCACAACAAATAAAACTAAAATTTACACATATTAGCGTAATGCATTTTTGATATCTGCACGTACACGTAAGTATATTTAGCTACACAGTATATTTTAGTTAATATTAGTAATGAACAAACCAACAATGCACAGTAACTTCGCCTTACATGGATACGTATAATCTACTGATTTTCAACAAGGCCTTAGAATTAAATTTTTCGAACGTTAATGTTACAAGCATATGCAAAAATATTAAAATATATATTTTTCACACCGAAAACTATTAATCAATTAACTATGTGCATTATTTGATTCTTTTTAAATATACTTTCGAAAGGTAATTTAAAAAACGTCTACGTTAGTTACTAGCCTAAATTTTGAATAGGCCTTGACGAATTAAACTAAAAACAATACGTGCATATTGTTAAAACACATATTCCTATAAGAACATCTCTTAAACTGGAATTGTAGTAATTTTTAAAGGCACTATGTAATGTAAAAAGCACATTTACCATGTAATTATTTTTGCGTTTACACATACTAAATAGAAAATTACATTATATGTTGCACATATTTATAATCGTTAAAATTTTACAAACGTACATATTCCAAACTAAACGTTGCGCGTACAATACAAACTATATAACGTAAACAAAATATTTCGAATTAACAATAACGTTCATCGATAATTGCCAAAAAATTCAATCAAAATCTTTCCGGGGCTGGAGCATTTTGAATTATGTAATAATTTTCACCGCCTGTCAATTTATTTACAAGATGCACCTTATGCCAAAATCTAAACTACAATAACTACATTTTCAACAGAGAGGAAAGAGGTTACATAAACAGTGTTCACAATAAGGAGGAATTTGGGTTAGTCCAGTATCTCGCACATATCCTCGGGTTACGTATTTCTTGCAACATTAATTTATTTCCAGTTTGTGCAGTTACCGTGGAGGACAAATTAATGAAGAGGAAAAAATCAAAATTCAAATACTACAACGGCGTATTGGCGTCGAACTCAAAAAAATATCTATTCTGCGCATGCGCTCGCTTGATTTTTAAAATAGAGCATTAATGTAAATAAGAAGGTAGAAGATTCCTAGGAATGAAATTTTTCTCGAATTCTTTCCCAAAATTCTAAGAAGTTACAATTTTACAAGAACAAGTCATGATTATGACAGTACTAATTCACTTTCATAAAAGGAATAGGATATACCAAATTTTTTCTGGGAATTGTAAAATAAAAGCCGAGTTCATTCCAACGCGCTATGGTAGATGAGCTCAATTCTGTAAATTTTGTCGTCTCGTTTCCTTCTTAGCTTGAACACAATGTATACGTTCGTATATTCTTTATACAGGATATTTCGTATCGCTGTTTGTCCCAAAATATATCACCATTATTAGTGTTGACATCAACGTGTATATAACATTTAATTAATAAACCCAATAGCAAAAATTTTAGTTAAAAATATGATCGTCAAAAATCTAAATACTGAAGGTTTTACTTAACTACGCTTTTTTTTATTATTATTATTTTAAATTTAGATTATGTGATAGGTATATAATAAATATTCGTAATTTACTTATTCTTTAGACTGTAATACTACAAAGTAACACTTTGACTATATCAAAATACAATTATTGCATTGATATGTTCTTCAGAATACATGCACACCTTACGTGATTAAATATATTTTCCTATAATTTGCGAAACAACATAGGCAACGAAATTTTTCTAAGCTACACCTAACAATATACAACATTTAACATTTGATACCTAATTCATTCCAAGATATGCGAATGTTACAATTACAATCCATGTCTAAAATCCTAATCGTTTTCTTGTGTATATTTAACTAGTAGTAACTTTCAGTCTATAAATAATTAACTATAAATTCTTAACAGATGCGGTTAATGCTTAACCTTTGTATTATTAGGTGGCAGAGAATTGTGTTTAAATCCCTCACTCTTAATGAAGTCTATTTCGGCGTAAGTAAAACCGGTCTCCGGAATCTGCTGAGTTGGACTCGTGTTGCTGATTTCAGTAGGGGCATTACCGGAAGTAGACTTGACCGTCCTCGGACTTCGACTGCCCTCCTCCTCGAAGGTCGGCGCTAAATCTAAACTAGCATAATGCAATTGTCCTTCAAAGCTCACGGACGCCGGCCGAATTCTATCGCTATTAACGGAGGCGGGGCGCGAACCGACGACCGTCGAACTAGACGAACCAAACTCACTGGCGGCCGAGTTTGGTCTCGACACACTCGCTCGCGTTAATTCGCAACTGACGGAGGCAGGTCTCGAGGTGCTTCTCGATATGCAGTCGCTATTGACGGAATTGGGCCTCGATATTTTCGCAACGGGCGACTGACAATCGCCGCTCAACATATAATCCGACTCGTCCATGTTGCTGTTATCTTCGGACGGCGCGACGTCTCCGGGCCGGGGCGACATATTTAACAATCGGGAATCATCGCGCGCCTCCGATATGGGAAGAAAACACCTAGCGCCGGCCATTCCGAAATCGTAATTCAAAGCGCTTTTCCCTAATACCATCGATGATAACTGTGAAGTTAAAGCGGAAGGACTAGAAACGGGTATCGATATCTTAGGTTCAGTCGTAGGTTGAACTATTTCTAAGGTGCCGGGTCGCATGATCGCGTAATCGCCGCCGCTAGTGTTGCACTTACTCACACTAGAAGTTGCGGGATTATAGTTTACGTAATCGGAGGTGTCCATCGATTTTTTCGCCCTGTCGAAGTCCATAACCGTATAATCCGCACTGTTATTAGGCTTAGTCGACGGACGATTATATTTTACGCTCATAATTGCGGCGGGAATTTTAATATTACCGGAGACCTCGGGCGTTTTCATCGACGCGCACGGCTTCAAAGGTGAACTCGGACTATTTAAACTAAATGGGAATATCGTCGAGGAACTTGAAGGCGTGGTAACACTCGAACTAGAACTGTCCTTCGAATCCCGCCGGCTGTTCTTACGCGACCGTTGCCTTGGCAAACTTGAGTAGGAATTTAAATCGCTGCTAGATAGAGGTAGATACATTTTAGGAGGAGTTCCGGTGGAATACTTCCGTCCAATTTGAAATGAGGAATATATCGGACTTATGGAACTAGAATTTTTGGGAAAATGCGCGGCCGTCGTTACCGCTTGTATCAGTATCGGTTGTGAAGCGGTTTTATCTTTTTTGCTGGTTCGCCTTTCGTTTTTTCTACTTGTCGTCCCTAGTGACATGTCAGTGTAGTCTTCGTTGTGATCCGATTTCGCACTTTCCAAACTAGGCTGTCGTTGGTGGTTGGCTGTTTGTCTACCCAATGACATTTCTACGTAGCCGTCGACTGTAGTCGGTTTGTTCTCCGTTATTCTTGAATGGTAACCCATATCCATGTAATCCATTGAATTGTCCATGGGATAGTCATTTGGTGAACTACTGTAGGTTTTATTTTTCGATTGGAAATTCATGTCTAAGTAGTCATTGTGACGAGTAACAGGCGAATCCAGGTTCTTGGTATCTTTGGCACGCGCATCTGGCCGTTCGTGACTACTCGATCGTCTCGGATCCATGTCCATGTAAACATTTGGTTTCGGAGCTTGAATAGGAATATAATCAGAGGTAGCTTTTGCGGGAGATGAACCCGAACGCATGTCCACGTACGGTGAAACATCGGAGGTTTGCATCGCATCATGGTGAACAGGCTTCATTTCCACGTAACCAGAAGGAACTTTATTAGCAGGATTCATATCTAGGTAACCTGAGTTGACCGGTTTCGAAAAGTCCAACTCCATAAGGTCGTTCATGCGATCTTCCGAGTTGTGCGACACTAAAATTCGCGAACCGGACAATAGGGGCGCGCTCGACGATTTCGGTTTAGGGTGTATCACAGTTCCGTGCGGTGGCAGGACGCGCGTGTGTAACTTACGCGTTTTCGATCCGACGCTGAATGCTCGTACGCGCGCGTTTTCCGGAGTCGTCGACATTTCGTAACGCGCCTTACTTTTCACTGTGTCTGGACGCGACCCTACAGAATATGCCCTAATCGGTCTGTCAACGGAACCTTTGTCATCTTCGGTAGGTGGGAAGTAGGCGCTCACCTATCAAGAGAAACAGAGGTATTTTAGTTCAGTCAAAATCAAATACATGAATTGAGAATGCAAATAAATTACTAATGAGGCGCGAGACAATGAATTTTTGCTGTACACAAATTAAGTCAGAAAATCATAGGGGTATTCGGCACATTCAACGTGTTCGCCAAAGCGCTCCCACTAGCAGTACTGTAACCTCTGCCATAGTTGTGCTTTTTATCATTATCTCAATTCAACAAAGTAATGCTTATTGAAGAAATATGTGAAGATCCAAAAGCTAACCCAACACCAATTGAAGGGTCCGATACTACACTTAACCAGCTTAGTTACCATTCCATTTGGACTTATTGCGCCTTTCAATGAACACAAGCTATTGGAATCCCAATCCCGCAATGTTATTATCGCGTCACATGTCATGCGTGTATTGTGTGTTGCCTACTTCTAATTAAAAATTTTGATGCAACATGGCGGCTAGGCTCCTATGTCTCTATAAAGCCACTAGGTTTGTTCAGCCGACACAACTGTTCAGTATCTTGAGACGTTGACTTACCTGAACGATGAATGGTGACATCTGGTGGAAGTCAACAGGTGGTAATAATTGGCACCACAAATTTGGAGTAATATCATAACATGTTACATTTTCATTTTATTTTAGTTAATTTTGTTTTTCAACTGCCACTTGAATAAAATTCCAGTTTATATCATCTTCAAACAATTCTTGCAAAACAATATTCATTTTTTGTCAGCACGAAAGTAAGGTTAAGATACACATCCTCTAAGGATAAAACGTGATGTCAACAGAACCGTTCGGGCATATGTTGACGTTTGCTACTAAAACACGTTTACGGTATCTGACTGTCAGTCAACAGTTGCGTCGGCTGAACGTACCCACTGTATGCCTAAATGTGTTACCCATGAGACGCATTTGGACCCTTCGTTCCAGAACTTCCAGGGAGCACGTTAACACCTTGCTCTAGGAAAAGGATGCGCCAGGCAAGTCCTATTAGAAGCGACTCCTCCTTTTGTAGAAGAATATTCCAGAATAAATTTGTTATGCAAATGTTCAAGTAGGGAATTTCAAATGGCAACTACTTAAACTTAAACGTCACCCTGTATATGCGAATGTTTTAATTGAATTTAAATCTAAAAGGATTTCATTACGAATAAGCACAGAATTGGTTTATTTCATTGGAATTTGTTGTTTTAGTGTCTATTTTTCCATTTTAAAAGTGTTTTTAATATATAATTTCCCTTTTGTTCGTATAAATTTGTTATTTCGAATTGTAAGATGTGAAAATTGCGTTGTTTAAAATTATCTGGTCATGTGCGGTAAGGACGTTGTTATTACGAAAGTTTAATGCGGTTTGTCCGCTTACGGAAGAAAGTTACGTTGATTTTCGAAAATCAATTGTAGGGCATAATGAAAGCGTTTTAGAACGTTATCTCATTAACAATTTACAAATTATTTATCAATTTAAAGTGTTTCCCGTCTGAATAGCCATAAGCAAGAGATTTTGTTCTTGAATTAAACAAACCAGCTTGAGTGACGAGTTCAGTGTAATAGAAAAGAAATGAAGTTTTCTGACGCTGCCAAAGAGTGTTTTTGTGTTAGTACTACATGCGACGGAATACCGCAAAATCGTTGTTTTGACCAGATTAATTGCATTCTTAAGAGAAAACTGGAAGAAATTTTAAGACTTTCTTTGTTTATCTATTGTCGACCACTTGCGTGTGGGGTACATGTAACAGACTTGTGTCCCTCTATTTCAGGTTTTTCTAGATGATTTATTGTGCATGTTGCTCGGAATAAATTTCTTGTCATTGTCAATCAATTATGGATTATTTGAATCCCTTGTACAACTCAAGACAGAGTTCTCATTTTCATATTTTTCTATTTGTGCCCAAGATTTATCTCCGGTGTTAGACAAAGTTTCTGTAATTAATTTCTTTGGAATTTACGGAAGTTGGTTGATTTATTTGAGCTAGCTGGACAGCTGCTTTATGGGTCGTATACTTGACCGCATGCCATTGCACAGCATTATTTATTTGGCGCCCAACGGAGGGCCACAGAATATATTTAAAAGGAGACGTTACCTCTGCGCCCACCTGCGGCCTGCCCTGCGATCCGTTCCCGTCGACGCTAGAGTAATTATACAAATTCACTGAATAAAAGAGTCGAGACACCCTAATTCATCCCCACAAAAGAAACGAACTGTAAAAACAAAGAACAGATATCGAGCCTCACACGATAAGTATGAAGAATTCGGCGGACCATTCCATTATCAAAGCAGGTAACAAAAGTTTGCTTTTCAACACTTCCTGAAGCCGTACTCAATCTAGTCTGGTTTTTGAGCCGCTTTCGGCGACAACAGTACCGTATTCTAAACAATGCAATACAGTTCATAGTCCATTGTTAAAAGCTTGCAATCACTAGGTGTAGGAAGAGTAGAAAGTGATACTTGGGCAGGTAGTTGTTTTTATAATTCTGATCAAACTATAATGAACTGTCAGCGTAAGACCCATCTGGGTACGAATAGCCCACGTACGAGACGTTCCCACCTTGGTGTAACACATCACACATTGCTAGGGAATCAGGTAATCACTTATTGCCGTCTCTCATCCCAAACCTAACCCAACAGAGAAGAAAAGAGAGAGACACCAAACTCCCAGCCCTGATAAAAATCGCCTCGATGGGTTTTTCCATTAGAATGACTAGGCAACATCCTGACTCGCGATCACCCAAAAAGTGTGGTAATGGATAGGATTCCCCAAGGTGAGGCATAGTTATTCTGAAAGTACAAAGAAAATGGGAGCGTAACACCAAAAGTAGTTTGATAGTTGGTGTCTTGAAGTAAACACGGAAAAATGAGGAAAAATTTGATGTAGGTACGCCTTTCAAAAACTAAAATTTCAAAATTACCTTCTCCAAAGGATATTCAGCGAACCGCATGTCCGTTGAAGGAGTTCCCGAGGTAATACTACTTGTACTCGCTGCCGGCGACATATTTGCGTGCCGCCCGCGTGGGCTCATGTCAACATAACCGTCGTCCGAACTGATGGGAGCCATAGGAAGGTAACCGCTGGGACTCGCCCCCTGAGGTAAGTACGGGCTGTCGGGGCAATCGTCGTAGTTCTCTTCGGCAATCGCTTCATCGGGAGTAAGCGAGTGACCGTACCTTCCCAGAATGGTATCGCTTTCGGCCCACTGCTCCGAATCGTCGATGCTTAGCGACGATCCCGCCGAGTCCGTTGAGCAAGCGGCCGAAGGTGGACTGATGGGACTTTCTGTAGGCGGACTGTGCGATATTTCGCGCGCGTAAAGCGACTGAGGGCGATGGGCGAGGTACGCGCGCGGCTGACACCAGGCGTGTATCGAATGCGTGCCTTCGCTGCTGGTTCGCGCCCTTGTTGGCATACTGTCACAGCGCTCTCTTCCATTTCCCGCGGTACCTGCAAGAAAACATAATATAAGAAGGCAAGTCGCGTCAATGGCGTTGGACATGCAATTTACTTGTAAAGTAGTAGGTACGTGTTAAATAGAACATAATAGATAAACCGTTTTACATTAATGACCCCAAATTGCGTGAATGAATAGTAGGTACATGCGCAAAGCTATTAATACTATTAAAATGCAACTTATTCCAATAATTGTCACGTTCAAATGATTAATACTAAAGCGGCATATAAAAAGATAGTAATAGAAAAAAACGCAAGCAAATAAAAAACAGGCACAATATTACCAAAAATCTGAACAGATGTAATGGTAATAGATGGTAAAAGAGGTGATACATACACCTGAAAGATTGATTGGAACGTTTAGCTGCTCGCTTAGGTTGTAAAGGTTGTTCGGTTAGGGGTGTAATTTGTGCAAGGGGCAGTGACTGGGTTCTTTGATGATTTACAGTCTTCGGCCAAGGCACGCCCCCTGCTGTGGAATAAAATCCTTAGTAAACCAATCTCCTTGTCACAGATTGAAAGAAAAAGTAAGTTCAATATAAAACACAAAAAAATACGCAATCCATATATGCGAAAAAGTTCATACAAAAAAATATACAAAATCAAAATTCGGCGTTAGGTGTACGAATTTATCACACAAGAGTTGGCCATTGGTATCTCGTAACTTGAGCATTTGGTGATCTCCACTTGAAACAGTCAACTTTTGTGTAAAAAAGATCGGGAGTGTGCATCTTTGTATTAGCGCCATAAAAATTGTACACAAAACATCTTTGGCTTTGTACCATCAAGTTCAATGAAATCATCAAAGATCTCAAACCGTTTGTTGCATAATGTTAGTCTCGCCTCATTCCCAAAAAAGATGTTTGCATGCAAGTGGTGGGTGATAAACCACCCAACATTTGGTATTGTGCTAAATTGGTTCAGCCATTTACATGGACTAGTTGATTACACACAGCCCAAAATCAGTTTGTTCCCCTAACCTCCCCCAAAACTTAAAAACTGACACATATTTCAAATTTTAATCAATTTCATGATTTCTCTACACTCGCTACTGATGGAAAGACTGGTGCTGACCAATTGTAACGCGACATATTTTATGAAATATTCCATAGTAAGTTACAGTTTTCTACCCTTCTTTATTACCGGCTCACCGCTAGAGCGACCATTGCCTCGTTATAGGTACTGTTAATAAAACTCTGGGGGGTCCAAAACGAAATAGCTTTACAGGTTGGACTGGAGCATGTCGCAGACATACGTAATGGGCCCCCTTGCATGTCTCCGCTCCGGTGTTTTTATTGACTTCAACCTCTAATAACTATAAAATCTAAACTCCACCGTGCCTGTGGTTGCGTGCTGGATTTCTATTTCAGGTATCGCGGGTTCTATTCCCAACGCAAATTAAAAAAATNAAGGCGCCTGACTACTTCTCGAAGACGCGCGCGCCGCCTCGCAAAAGGTCGTTAATTTCGCCCCTATGACAAAAAACAAAATCCCGCCACGCAGGAGTTGTGCGTTTACAACATCTTTCCGACGACACCAATTTCAAAAGAATCGGACCAAAACTGTAGTAGAAGATAGGGAAAAACTGAAAAACCTTCACGTTAGTATACTACGCTCGAGGATGACGCCCAGATGTCGCCAACCCCACATCATGTAGCCATGCCCCTAAGGTTGACAAATTTCACGGCCCTGTAGATACACGTACACCCGTTGCCTTTCTACAAGAGTTCTTCTACGCGCCCACATTTGCTGCCAGCCAGCCAGCCAGCCAGCCAGCCAGCCAGCAGCCAGCCAGCCAGCCAAAGTGAGATTAAAAGCTTACTTTTTACAAAAAATTTTTTGCAAAGAAAATGCGCGTAAAAATGTTCTATAACAATCACGTTGACGCGGATCAAAAATAACATCCAAGATGGCGGATTGAGCGAGACAGACAGGCGGTCCAAGATGGCGAATGGCGCGAACCAGATAGACAGGCAGCGGGTCCAAAATGGCGGATTTAGAGTAATGACTAATAAAATGGTAGCATCCGGTATCAAGAAGCGGTGGGCGCGAAAGTGTTTAGGAGTTGAAAGGTAATTGATGTAATTTCTGGAGTTGTGTTTCACCCGCCGCTACCGTAATAACGCTGGATTAATCCACCGTTTGCAACCATTCCCGTAGGAATATTTAAATTGTGTTTACAGCCACCGAAAGTTTTCTGGCCAGGGAAGAAGAGAGGGTAGCTTATTAAGTTATAGCAATAAAACCGGCAAAGTCGTGCAATTTAAGGAAAATATCATCGTAATAGAAGACCCCGCCGTGTGACCTCACATTCCAAGGAACAAAAGGGCATTGCTGGGCTACCAAATTTGGAGATTTCATTCCTACTATTTGGATAAGTATAAGCAACCGTAATTATTTGAATGGGTTACAGTAACAAACTCCGATTAAGTCGAGATTGCATCCGTTTGGTGCGCCCTTAAAAACTTAAATTTTGACACCACTCCCGTATTTTTAAGACGCCTGGGAAGGACGTAATTAATTAAAAACGGTTTTAATTTTCGTCGTCGAGTTGGAAAAACCGTTGTTCTCCATAGCATATCGTCTAGATAGGTAGATACTTTTATTTCCACGTTCATCATTGGATATACACAAAAACAGACAAAAAATAACAATATGTTCTAAAAAAATAATAAACTAAAACAAGTGAATCTATAGTCTGTCTAAAATTGACGCGAAGTAATAAATGTACCTGATAGACAGAGACAGAGAATCACTTCCATACAAAAATACTATTTCTATTTCACCAATTTATAATTTATTACTTAATAATAATAATAATAATAATAATTTTTATTTCATTAGGTTTTCCAATAATTTACAAAAAAGATAAGAAAACAAAACATTTGTATTGTACACTTAATGAAATAAGGATTCAAGCTCAGACAACTGACTCAAAGCCAGAATACTGTTCTTCCGCATGAACCTGATTGTAAAATGTTGCAGTAGAGTTGTGATTTTAAAATAGAGAGATTTTCTTATTATTTACCAAGCAAAATAGGGCGTTTACAAAAGTACAGATACTATGTATGTATCTCCTTTACATGTCTTTGCAAACTAATCGCACGGTTTTTCCCGGGAAACATCGGACTACCCTCCCGGGAAACATCGGACTACCCGCGTCAATTTTAGACAGACTATAGATGAATCGCAGATAGGTACCTCATTAAACAATTACTGTTGTGTTGAGGTTACCATCACTTAAAAAAACCAAGTTAATATTAATTCCAAATGCACTACAATAAATTAAACGGAGAAAAAAGAACTTAAAAATTGCAGTAATAATGAGGCGAGAGATTTATAGACTATTGTAGCGGTATTTATAAGGTAAACGCTTAATTTAGAGGGGATCTTTTTTTGATTGTCGTTAAGTACGGTAGGTATCTAGCTTTTCCGTAAATTTACTTTTTTTTAAGTTTTATTTTGCCTTTATTTTTGCGTGGGCGGGGTTTCAGCCAAGGCTGCTCTACCAACCCACTATACATTTACGAATATCCATGCCCGAACCCGGATTCGAACCAGGAACCCTTAGCACCACAGTCCAGCTTTTACTGAACTGCGCCACAAGGGCCGGCATCTGTACCGTTCGATTTTGGTTTGTTTGAAATTAATTCTACCGTATTAAAAATCATTTTGGTGGTTAACCGAAACGAAAGATCTTTTGGATCTCTCTGCCTTTGGCTTCATTGATTGGCTACTTTGGAAAGAGTGGTTAGGGAATTATGCATTAATTTTAATAATTATTTTGGCGCACGGCTAGAGATCTTTGAAGGTAACAATTATGTGTTTTAATCATTGAAATAAATACAAAATACTAATTTGATGGAATAATACTGGCTAAGTGCACACAGTGCATCCTGCAGAAAATTGTTACATAATGCTTTTATTCATAACATTTTGTAGCGCAAACTACAGATATATCAAAATTGTACCATTCTTAGCCTGTTTACTGATCACTTATTAACACAAGATCAAGAATTTTGGAAAATTCTCGTCGAAAAAAATGTTCCAATTGCAACAACATGCATTTTTTAAACTTTATTGATATTTTTTTGAACGTTGCTATTGGCCAATACTGAAAGGGTAACGTTCCCTTTCTAATCATAATTCCAAAATTGTTTAACAAAAATACATGCTACAGAGTACAGATACAATTCTGCAAAAAAAAGGCTACAAAACTGAATACGGCGACAACATTCCAACAACAGCTACTTAAAGTGACTGGATATCGTTATCTATCTGAAGTGAATACTTTGTACAACTGATAAGTACGTAATGTAATCAATTATTATACTGTTGAACTTACGCCATGCTTTGGACCCGGTGATAATTAACCAAATCTTATTTTAAATACTACTGCAAAAGCCTACTGTATGGAACTATGAACACACCTGAGATAGAATGACGACGTTGCGAAGCTCTGGAAGCACTGCGTTGGTACAAATGTTGATACATGCAGCTTACCCAACTAACTGCAACCACACGTTCACGCAACATACATTAATAATACAGTCGACACGTAAACAGTAATGCAAAATTTTGCTAGTGGTTGCCAAAATGTTACCTTCCGTCATCCACTCCAAACAAAGTACCTTTAAATATTGTATATTTCGGCCTACTAAAAAATCAAAAATTTTGGTTTTTCTCTACCATACAGTGATAAATAAAAAAAGCTAACTTGGCTGTTAACATGAATATTTTTAGTAACACCATTATAGCATGCATAATCGAAGGTTGTTGCCTCTAGTTCAGCGGCAAAAGCAAAATATATATAATATTAAAATGCATACCAGCAATATGAGATGATGATGTAGTTGCTGGAACCAATGTCTCGTTGACCTGGGGATTTCCATCTGGAAGTCAAGAGCATTCTAATTTATCTCAGAACTATATACTTAACAATCTAGTCAAAAAAGAAAAACAATATAGTTTTGAGACAAACGGTCATATTCAATGCATGCGCGAAGAACCGTCCCATCAGGTTAATTCTAAGCTTGGATAATCTCATATCCCAAAATACGATTCGGAACCTTACGACATAAGATAAACACGAGTCTTTTTAAGTGATAAAAATAGCTATTGTTGCACGTGGTGGAAAACATAATTTGTTGACAAGTCGTTCCCAAGATTAGCTTCCGTATGGTAACTGAGTGCAGTTTGCACGCTACTAAGATAATCTCAAATTAAAAGGACCAAGCTGATATGATCGAAATTAATGTTCATCTGTGACCTTGGCAATATCAAAAAGCGTCGTCTAGACATGTTAGTAATAATTATAAATTTAAATTCCACAATTACAATATACTAAAATATATTTTTGCGAAAGTGTATTTCCGTCGAAAAGTCTTATTGAGTTAATTACACATTTGTATTAATAGTGCATCTGACCTATACTAGACCTTATCAGAATACATACATTAAGATGAACCCATACGATAAAATGGACAAATTTAGCAACAATTGATAACACTTATTTTTTGCTATTGATAGGTTTCTAGCCACCAATGGACATAACTATCTTGTTTTGAAAAGGTTGATAATTTAGACAAGGATTTTGGGTGTCGGGCTACTGTAGCTAAGAGGGTGAATTTACAATAGCATTTTAGCAATAAACTTAGTATACGGCAAAATAATGATGCAGCAATAATATGCAGACCATCTAGTTTTGAGACACAATTCAGTAAAAAAAGAAATTACTTCCCTATGCATCTACCCAGTACGAAAACGATCAAATAGAATATAGATCACTATGAACGCCTCCATGGAGGAGAGTATTTGCGAAAATATGGTAACTTATCCCACGATGCAGAGGGAACTTTGCTAACATGAGTAGAATAGAAACGGTGGGGAATGGTAGCACTCCGCGCCCTTCCCCATAAGGTGGATGTTGACGAGGAGTAACTATGACTCTCTTGTGACTTAATTCCTTTACTATACGAAGGTGGCTAAACGAGCGGATAAAGGGGGTATGGCCGCTACCCCCATCCGACAGAGGTGGCAAGAGTAAGGTGCGACTCCTGCGGGAGGATGTTCAAGTCTGCGAAGAGCTGCGTGGCACATAAATGGCAAGCTTATCGGAAATTTCCTTAGATCAATTTCGAGCATTTTCAGCTGAGATACACTACAGTCTCAACCAAAATAGGACACACTATACAGCTCTGGGCATACAGGTAGTTATTTTAAGCACACAATGATGGCCATTAAGAAAACAGAAGAGGTACTACTGTACTACCTTGAGGGACACCGCTTCAAAGAAATGACAGATCGGCAGGTCAGAAGCAAAAAATTGACTGGCAAACTGTCAGTGATGATGGAAGTGAATGGATTAACTACAGCAATTTGTGTTTCAGATCAATTTAAACATTTCTGCACAAGTCGGAAATTAAACAGTTTTTCCCCGCAGATGTTACCTGAAAATTCGCAAGCTGAATGGACATAGTAAAAATAAATTTTCAATAAATACTTAAATATCAAACGAATACGCGAGGCAATTCCATTAGAAGATTAGAAACACATTTCCGATTTTGATAGAATAATATATTATATCAACCGGGCCGATTAGGAAGTATCGATTATATGAAAATGGTCAACTTTCACGCAGAAAATTCAGTCATCTACTTATAATGAAAGATTTAGGGTTGATGGTGGGATATCCTAAAAATTTCAGGAAAGATTCCAAACCATATGATTGTAGTGGGTACAAATAATTTATGTCACACTTCAATTACGTTGCGCTTCTAATGCGGAGAACTCGCGACTGACCGTCATAATCTCAATGGCGTATTTATGTGCGTTAAATTAGGGAATCTCCTAAATTTTTCGTGGAAGTCGCCAGACAATGGGATTTAGGTGTCATTGACGAGTTTAGTACTTATATGGTTTGAGATCTTTATTTCTGCTCTGCAATAACATATTTGGTTTTCGTTTAGGCTGAGGTCAATATGACATGGGTCTTGAATATTTAATTATTCAGTAGGGTACAAACTGAAATGTTCCCAATTTGTTTGAGTGACAAACTTTAAAATGCATTGCAGTTTCTAAACGTCTATAAACCAGTTATTTTATACAATTTCCGGATTTGATAGTACCGTACAACCTAAAATTAACTATAATTTGAAGGCAAAGTGTATAACCTACTATTATGCTAATAACAATATCATATTTAAGAAATATTCGGTCATGCAGGGGGGTTCGATGATCGTAAAAAAAACCAATTTCAAAATGTGGTTGTACCTTGTGCATGATGATATTTTGTCGCTCCGCTGTGTGTTTGCTTTCGGCCGGGTTTTGATGATTCGGTGGCTGAGCTCGATCGTATCCGTGGCGGTCCCAATTCGTCCTTACTGGAGCTACTGCTGGACATTGCGCTGTAAATAACCATAAACAATTTACAATAAAATAAAAAACAGAAGAGAAGGGCGGTGTTCAGGCAGGTCTAGCTAATTAAGTAGATTAAAACATTTAAGGTTCGCCAATTACGATTATTTTTGGCGAACGTTTAATTACCATAAATGTGAAAATAGAATAATAGATCGTGTAAACAACTCGATTTTAAATATAGGGTAAACAATTATTAGATAACTAGTTTGAAAAACAAGAACGATTATGGCAACACGGTTTTGTCGTAATGCACGAAGTGTATTACAGTAAACATAAGATAACAAAATACAGGTCGATTTAAAGTATTTACTTAAAAGCTGCTATTTTTTTGGTAGGTGCCTCAGAGTTAATTAATCCTCAAATAAAATTCGCACATGACCAAAAACAATAACAAATAGCTCTACTGGGACAACCACCTGGTTAATTCTATCAAGAAAACATTTCCAGGGGAACTTTGAACGAATAACATTTTTTTCCGTCTGTACGTATGTACATTGTACAGGGTGGTTCACCATTGGGATCTCCGTAACAGTGAGAGATACAGTGTAGGTTAAATAGGGGCAAAGTTTAAACGGTTGGAAATGGACGGCTCCTGCTTACACCTTCTGTTCTGGGCAGTTCCAGAATTTTCATAACACGCTAGATGTAGAAGCTACAGGCTACTACTTTCTTTTTTTTTATGGACGCCATATTGCATTTTTACGGAATGAAAAAGAGGGCAAAAATGAAAATTCATTTGAATTCATCGCCATCAGAGCCATGTTGATTCAGCAAGATTTAGTTATCCGTAGTTGTTTTATTGAGAAATGTATGTGAAATAATTGATTTTGAATTTTTTTTGTAAATTTATGTAAAAGTTGACACGTCATTATTTTTCTTTTTTTGTCTTCTATCTCATTCTTTAAAAATTCAATCTGGCTTTGGATTCGGAAAAAATGTTCATAGAAGGTGCTAACGGGAACCGTCCATTTCCGACCGTTTAAGCTAGTGGAAAATGAAAACTAAATTTGACATTTTCAGCTTTTCGGGGTTATTTTCAGATTTTTCAAAAATTTCAAAAGCGATTTTGTAGTCAGGGGAAACTACACCGTTACGATGATTTGATTCCAATGGTGGCCCACGAATTTGAGTCACCCTTTACAATCATCACCAATTAAAAAAATTATTGTTTTAATTTGGTTTAGATCAGTTCCGGTCGCGCATAGAGCGTAAAATTTGATAAAATGTTGAAAATTTTGCATTTTTTTTGTATGTTTAATATACTTTTTTAACGTGATACTTACTGTATTTTTATTCCAATTTTTTTTCCATTTTTATTATAGCAGTGAGTGACAGATAGTTATTCAAAGCGGAGTATGTCAAGGAATGACGTATATGGCTCCTGTGTAATGTAGTGTTAAAATTAAAGGTTTTGGAAATATGAGTTAGACGAATTATCTTTATTGTTGGTTATGTAATTGCACTGGTCACATTTAAAATTTTTGAAAGTACTGTGATAAAATGTGGCGTTGCTCTTTAAGGTATAATTACACTGATTGCTAATGAAATTTTTGCCTTTACAGCCGTAAACACTACAATTTTGGCCATTGTAAATAAACAAAATGGTGGATTTATCCCACCTGTATTAATTACAATGTGCTGCCACCAGAGGTCTCACTGTTAATCTGAATCGCGCATTGTAAATAGTGCGTAATGATTTGGACATGAGAGATGGCATCCTTAAAACTTACTGGAACACTGTTTCATGAACATTTTGGGCGATATTAGCATCCTCGGTTTCCATCCAAAGCTCTCCAGCTCCCGTAACACTCGATCTTCCAACCTAGAATACAAGGAGATGTGAAGCTGTCTGTACAACTGTAGTCAAAATACGTACCTCCAAGTAAAAAAAGTTTTTAATACTACCACAGCTACGTATACTGGAGAGGGACAATTCGGCCTGAGGTGATTCTCGATCTTTTCTTATTAAACTGAGGGTTCTATCCGTCAAGCACAAACGAAATACGGTCGACTCTTGTCCTTTGGAATAAGCTCCGATCACGCTGGTACCGCCTAATCCTCGATTGAGAACCGTGACTTGCCAAACATGTTCTGAAACAAAAAACAAACATGAAAAAAATTCTTCCGGTATGAACAATGATTAGTGTAACCCACAGTTCCCGAATGTGTTTATCTCAAAAAAATTAGCCACGCTGGCTTGGAGAGACTAGAACCCAGGGGTAGTTTTAGCTTATAAAAGCGACTGATGTAGGTACGCTACAGGTAAAACTGTGAGAACGAATTCCAATAACGGTCACAGCGAGGAATTTCCCTTTTATTTCAACTCCTATAATCAAAATATGCCGATTGCTGATCAATAGTATGTCGCTCCTTAATTTAAATATGATTAGAAATTCAGCAAACACGTTTAATTAAAGACCTAAAGAGAAGTCCCGATGCATGACCAATAACGTAATTATGAAATTCCAACAAGCGCATTACTACCGGCAAAGATCGTAAATTCCTCATTGTATTTTATGACCTGCAATGATGTCATAAACTGTGCACGTAAATAATGCATACACAAATTTTGTTCTCAATGAGTTTTCAGCAGGCGAAATTGTGTAGTAGTAGTCATTTTTCTGCCGTTAAGTCTAAAATGAAGGTTTTTTTAACAAAACTAAAATTAGCGGTTTAATTAACTATAATAAAAAATGTTGCTACCAAAGCTATTATTATCCAGCCTTAGATATTATTTTTAGAACGCATTGTCTCTTTTATGCACATCTTTAAAAATAAACCTAGTTTCATGCATGACCGCATTAAATACATATTACGAACTTAGTGCAGTATTTAAAACATGGTAATTACTCCATGTTCCATTTACGATTACGTTATAGCATATGTAACGCGCAATATTTGAGACTCGTTAAAGAAATTTGTGGATTAATTAATTTTTTGTACCATCCGCTTAGCTCGCCTGCCTGTCGGCGGGTACCTACAGATTTTTAACCTTTGTACAAAAACTTGTTTATTACAGGTGATACACAAATTGGTATAATCTTCATCTTGTATAGAGCATCTGTCATCGTTTCTTGGAAACACACTTTGTTATTATATTATTATAATTTTTTAATGGGTAAACATACAACAAAAAAGGGGACTTCGAAGGACTTTTATTTCTACAAGATTAATCGGTCATTTTTACGATTTCAAAATACAAATCGTCCCGAGTTTATCGCGGAAGCGGTTCCTCAAGGTTTTGATTTGGGACCGTTGCTATTTACAGCATAAATGATTACAAGACACTTTTTTGAACACGCGACTGAAATATTAATAAACTACAACTTCGTCTAATTAATAGTTTAAACATCACGATATTGGTTCGAATGGTTTTATAGGTATTTTTAAACAATTTTTCGGTTGTTTACATTAAAAGTTCATCAAACCTCACTATGTGGATGTCAACGCAACCCAACCCAAACACGGCCTCCCATTGGAAAAAAAACTGTTGTACTTATTTGCACACGTAGAAGTCATATAGGAAAAACTCGAGGTCGATAGGTGGTCGTTACAATACCAAAAAGGTTAATTTTGGACGGGGGGAGCATTCACTTAGCCCTCGTTTGAATTTTCGAAATAGGTACATATTTATAAAACCATATAAGTACAAATCATGAACATAAATGCACAATTGAAGCACAGATAAAAAAAATTGGTTCATTTTTGGTTTAATGGGGGAGGGGGAGGGGCTAAGTGAACGAACCCTGATTACTTTCAGTGAAGTGGAAATCCTTCACATCCTCGTATTCGAGCGAACAAGTGCATCCTTCATCGACACCCCCTGCGTTCCTCGCTCATTCATTATTAAGGATCCTCAGATCCTTTATAGTTTTGTATTGTCGTCCGTCCGTCCGTCCGTCCGTCCGTCCGTGTGCGCTCTAACTCTTTTTAAAAGTGGCCGATTGTGTTGAAATTTGGTATACGGGTACGTTGGACATTAAGAACGGACGCTATTGATTTTCAGGAAGCTGGTTCAACAGGAACAAAAGTTATACGACTTCGAGTGAATCGGGAACAGGAAAAACTGCGAACTCAATATAATAAAAATTAACATATTTCATTCCCTAGGTCATGTATCGAGTTCGGACTTTCGCTAGATTATTCCCTATGACTCTTAGATGTGTAACAATTCAATATAACTCTTCTCTGTGGTCTCGGTCAAAAGTTTTAGAGCAAAATGTACCCAAAATTATTCTTTACACATGAATTTAGAGTTGTAAAAGCTTTCAAACGCATTATCTTGATGCTGAAAGAGTTGATAACGTGCACGTTTGATAACCGCATGTGTGTGATTCAAAAATGTTAAATTATTTTTCTGAGGCCACATGGATTTTGATCAAAATATGTCAAAATCGTTAATTATGCACCAAGATCGTTGGGAAAAAGACTACGCGCATTATCTCAATGCCCAAGACATGAATTTGATGCATTTTTGGCGACCACGTGGATTTTGATCAAAACATGTCAAACTCGTTATTTATGCACCAAGATCGTTGGGAAAAGACTAGGCGCATTATCTCAGTGCCCAAGACATGAATTTGATGCATTTTTGGCGACCACGCGGATTTTGATCAAAACATGTCAAAATCGTTATTTATGCACCAACAGCGTTGAGAAAAAGACTAAGCGCATTATCTCAATGCCCAAGACATGAATTTGATGAATTTTTGGCGAAAACGTGGATTTTGATCAAAACATGTCAAAATCGTTATTTATGCACCAAGATCGTTGGGAAAAAGATCAAGAGCATTATCTCAATGATCTAAACATGAATTTGATCTATTTTTATGGACCACATGGATTTTGATCAAAACATGTCAAAATCGTTATTTATGCACCAAGATCGTTGGGAAAAAAACCAAGAGCATTATCTCAAAGCCCAAGACATGAATTTGATGCATTTTTGTTAACTATAAAATGTATTTTGTAAGATTAAAATAAATTGTCGTTAAAAGTGATTGTAATACTGAGGATCCTTCGATATTTCGTTGTATCGGTTTATTGTAGATTATTTTGATTTTTAAATCTAATAATTGGAGGTTTTAGCGTCCCCTTTTGAACGCGCCCCGTGCTGCCCCACCCTAGCTACGCCCCGAGTGCTCCCGAACGTTTCCGAATGTTCGAAAACAAACACGTCATATTTCCCGAAAAGAATTCGTCACGTCCGTCTTAGTTTCTTATGGCTAATGACTAACCTATCATGTAGCCTCGATGTCTATCGGGATTACTAGAATATTCGCATGGGTTTTAAAACAAAAATTCAAAATCAGAGTTTTGCTTCTCAACAAAACATCCACGGGTAACTAGATCTTGCTGAGTCAACATGGATATGATAGGGATTTAAATAAATTTGCTTTTTGTCCCCTATCTCTTTTCGTAAAAATCCAATATGGCGTCCATAAGAAAGTATTAGTCTGTAGCTTCTATATCTAGCGCGTTATGGAAATTCTGATAACAGATTCAGATTTTCCGTTTAAGCTAGGGAAAAAGAAAATGAAATTTGATATTTTCAGTTTTTTCGTGATATCTCACTTATTTTCAAAGATAAAAAGGGGCAATTTTCCCCCATTTAACCTACACTGTATGTTTTACCCTCGGTTTTACTGTTACGGAAATCCCAATTTAGCCCTCCACCCCTACCTACCTAAGTACTTACCCATATACGTAGTCGTAGGGAGTTAAAATTTTAAATGTGACGATGTTTGGGGATATAAAGTATGTATATAAATTTTGGTAGAGCGTGGAATTTATTGAGGTAACAAAACACTGCATTTTGCACTCACTGGGGTGTGATTATTGCTCCCATTTTTGCTTATAATACGTATGTGAAGCAATAAATAATAGTGAAAATATACATCGGCAAATGATCGTTTTGAACACTGCGAAATTTTCAGTTTCAAAGAGCTAATCGATCCAGCTCGTGCCCAAAGCAAATATTTTCCTACCCTTCTGAATGATTCAATGCAAATTCCTCAGGATATTTGTTTCATTTCCAACTGAAATGCGAAAACAATACCGAGTTTGTAACGGGTATGAAATAATAGTTGGTGCGCAAAATGAGCGTAGGTAGGTATTGTTATCATAACCTACTTCCAACGATAAACTAGTTTTCAGCGAGGGTGTTGCAAAATACACTACGCAATAACATTATTTACGTGCGTGCCATTCTGAGACCTTACCTTTGATTTGTTTTTTTCCAAAGTGCAATGATCCGCTGAAATTATCATAAAGAACCAGTAATTTAATCACGAGATGTTATGAAAATCGGCTTTTAATAAAAACATAACTTTCTATATTGAAAGTGCGAGAAAGTAAAAAATGAGGTTGTGCTAACATTTCCGTATGAACCAATAGTAAAATCAGTTCTGTCTATTATTAAACTTTGGGACATAAATTATTCAATAAAGTGTGGACGGAATGTTTCCATTTTTACCGGCTGAAAATGTCGACGTCCGTGAAATACCAAAAAATTTTACCATTTACCTCGTCTGTTCGTCCAAAACACGTAAATATTCATAACTTTGTCCTAGATTATGTCACAAGTGACCTGCACTTGTACCGCATTGATTCGAAATTTCTTTCAGCCACACTCTACTTGCCACAATTGCATTTTTCAATTTAGATTAACGTCTTTATCCTTTACGGGTCGGCACTTGGAAGACTATTTGTTCTCGAACCGGAAATGACGGCGTGTTTATTTGGGCGAACTATTTTTCCAAGAATTTCCAGTGTTGTTGACAGTTAATCACAATGTACAAAAATAAATATTGAAGTTTGAAGCTACGGTGATTAGCATCTGCTGCAGACTGTGTAAACAAAGAGGCCAAACTTTTGGGATGCTAGAAAATTCCTCGGAGCATAAATTGTGATACCATTGTCATAAATTGTTTGCTTCTATCCGTTTTTACCACCCGCACGTTAGTAAGGGAGGTATTGCATTGGGGTAAAAAATGACCCCTCACTTTTTTGACGGAAATACACGTTTTAAAGCTTCCGGAATATGAATCAAACAAAATCTCGATGATGTCTCATTTCCGGATAAATAAATA